ATTTATTTATTTGTACAGAACTGGGGTACAGGCCAGAGGCTCAGGGGCGGTGAGAGGCTTCACCATAGACAGAGTGGGGAGCAGAGCAGGATGACTGACAAAGTATACTGCTGAGGGGAGCAGCGGGCGGGTCAGGAGAGGTCTGCCACACCATGTGGTCACTTCCGGGGGCAGGCGGGGATCGAACTCATGTGGAAGTGGCTTTAGCTTCGCAGTGCAGTGCTTTAACCCGCTGTGCCACCAGGGAGGGCCTGAAGTTAATTTCTTAAGAACAAAAATGGTGAGGGCATTTTTAGCTTTCCAAATTTCTTACTTCACCTTTTCAAGCTTTTAAGCTGCCTAGGTTTGTGTTTCCTTTTGTGTATATTCCTGGGATGCTGCACTGTCTTGAAAAGAAACAAATTCTATTACTCAGAATGCCCTGCCACTAAGAAAAGTTTGTTATACTTTGGCCTTATATCATAATATGAGGTCCTAGAAAATTATGGATCTAATCATTCACTCATTCATATTACCAGTTACTATACTAGCCTCTGGGAATACATTTCTAAACAAAGTTCTCATACATACTAATTTTACATTTTAATGGAAAGATAAATAATAAAATATCAGGCAAGGGCCATAAAAATGAAGTTGTAGAGAGGGATCGAATGAGACATGCTAATTGAAGTCAGATGGTGGGGTGGTGAGGTCATATGTAAAATTAAAATATCTGCTCAGAATGAAACATACTGAAATGGAACATTGAAATCTACTATTAATTTTCAAATTTCTCCCATTTACCACCTGGCACCAAAAGGATTTTAGTGGACTATACTTCATCTTTCTCTACCATTGACCCTCTTCCATCCTTTTTATGAGAAACAGAGATATACCTAAAAAATTAACTATGAGTAGAACAAAAGTTTTATGAGAGAGACTCTTAGATAATAGAGCTGTAAAAAGTAAGAAACAAGACAGGTGTTCCTTTAAGAAAATTGAATTTCAGAATTAGGGGTGAACCAAGCATTTAAATACTTTGGGAATAAAAGAGCAAGGAGTTAATATGTTTGACCATCTCTTCAACAACATTAATAATGTGAGCTTGGCAAGGCATGGTATCAGGACCTAAGATGTAGTTCAGTATAAAAATGTTAAATATTTAATAAATATCAATGTATTTACTTATACAGGAATTTCAAGTATATAGTTTCATGATCTTATAGATTAGTAAACCCACAGCTAAAGAAAACTAACATTTGTAATTTTGTCATTTAAAGAGTACTTTCTAGTAGACTTACCTAATTTGAGGTAGAGAAGATTATCCTTAATTCCAAATAAGGAAACAGCTTACACAGATTTAACTGTCTTATCCCAGGTCAGACAGCTAACAGGTGACTGAGACCCAAACATAGGTCTTCTGGTTCTAAATCCTGGGTGCTCTCTATGGCACACAGTTATGTAACATGCTCATTTAATCTTCAGAAGACCCAGCCAGCCCTTCTACGTTAGTTTCAGAGGGAATTGAAGATTTTTTTTGTCTTTATAGTATTCTAAAAATATTCCATACAATGTGTAACAAGACTTAATAGATCCATTTTTATGTTGAGGCAGAATTCTAAATAAGCAAGGTGTCTGTCATTACTGCTTCTTTTATGTGGCACATTAAATCAATGAGTCTGTAATGATCAAATTCGAGCAGCAGCCTAGGTATTTCCTGATGATTATGCTTACAGATTGTGTGTTGTAATTTTTATTTTTCAATAACAAATGAGTTCTTGTAACATTAGGTTGTGTTTCATAACTTTACCAGAAGCCAATAGTATAGACAGAATTATCCTCTACTGTATCTGCAAATTGAAAGATGTGGTAGAGAACTGGAGAGCCATGATAATTTCTCCAGCATGATAAATGAGGTTATTTATTGTTGCTGTCCACGCTCATCTGCCCTGGCCTGTCCAGGGTGAACAGAGAAGACTGTCCTTAGAGAAGACCCTTTGTTTCCATTTGTGACATGAACTTGCTTAGGAATGCCCACTCTTTTGTTCTGTTCTAGCCAATTACTACTAAATAAGTATCATAGCCTATAGAGAAGTCCTGTCAAAGGTCGCATGTGCCCCACAACTTTATTCCACTTTACAGGTGCCTCAGGAAGAAGGGAGGTCAGTTCATGAATAAAAAAAAGAACAGTCATATTTCCTTGTCTTTTGTACTATGACACTTATTAAAACAATCTTTAAAATTATAATAAAATGATTTATCTATATTCAAGTAGAATAATACTGGGAATTATTACAGACTAAAAAAGCAGCTCATGGCTATTTAGAACAATTATTTTCAAAGGTACTTTAAGAAATTTGAACGTGAGAAGAAACTAAAAATCTACCAAGGTGAAATGTTGATTTCGGCAAATCAGAATGGTTCCCTGCCTCTGTCATTAAAAGATACTAATAGGGCATAGTTAAGTCCTATAATTTATTCTTCAAACAATGCTGATAGCATAAGTACCCTGACTAATCATAATTATGCTCTAGTGCTTGAGCTGTAAACAGAAAGGAAATGAAGCATTTAACTATATGCCATTAAATAATAGAATGATCTTGTCTGGGTCTTTGTGTTATTTGCTAAGGATTGAAACCCTGCAGGAATCAAAATAGGAGCCACAGTAGGTGGCTAATTTTGTCTTTAGTTCTTTAAAACTATATAATAACTCCTCATCGTGGGGATTCTTCCCTCCCCCCCACCTTATTTATAAGTATTAATTAATTAGAAAGTAATAGAACTTGATATCATGATTATATATCTAATTTGTTGGTTTAGGTCACTGTACTCATAAAACTATCTTCTGACTGATAGCAAAAAATGCACTGCCAATTTACAGATAAATGTGTAATATTAAGTAATTATGCAAGTGAATGTCAGAGATGGACTGTAATTTCATTTGAACCCTATTCTTAAAATAATTTAACAAGTATTTGTTTCCAATTTTTTGCTATACCATGAGATTATACTTATACCTTCATATACTTGTTCCACTGACTTCAAATCACCCTTTGGTAACTTGTTTTATCAATATTCAGAATATGAAAAATTTTGGATTTAAAAAAATGGGCTAGTGAATAACAATTAAATATAAATTTCTGTTACAGTATACATTTTTGCTATATTTGAAGCTTTTAATAAGTTAGTTTCATGTAGCAAATATCTCAGATTTGCTCATACTTGTGCTGGGGGCTTATAAAGAGTGCCTTGAAGACATAAACTCTATTGAGGTAATAATAACATGAAACAAGTTACCAAAACAATCCAAAAAAGGGATTGAAGACTTGATGGAAGAAGTGGTACCAGAGACAGACCTTAAATAGTAAGTGAGGTTCAAATAAGAAAGAGATTTCAAGAATACAGGAAGTGATCAGTTTATAGAAACAGTAATTATTAATCTGGTGTTTGTCCTATGCAACTATGATACTAAAGTGACTGATGGAGGCTTTACGTTAAAGAATAGATGAGCTAGGTAATCTATACCAGTTGTAAAGATTGATCTGTAAGTGTCAAAATTTAGCTTTCACAGTTTTTCTTATGAGCAGTGAGACCTGTGGGAAAATCTTAACTTTTGAAGATTAAAATTTAGATAATATTGTCAGCAATGAATGAGGTAAAATTTAAGTAATATTGTCAGCAATGAATGATTAAAATTGAGATAATGTCAGCAATGAAAGAAAAAAAGTCCAGGTATGTAATCTCATTCCAATTTTGAGATTTTTAAATTAGTCATAGCAGAAAATACAAAAGGTCTTGGAAAAGAAAGCTCCATCTATAATAAGTACAATCGCTCAAATATGCATTGAGCTTTTTTTTTTTTTTAAAGATTTATTTATTTATTTGTACAGAACTGGGGTACAGGCCAGAGATGCGGAGGGTGAGAGAATTCACCAGAGACAGAGCGGGGAGCAGAACAGGCAGAAGTACACTGCTGAGGGGAGCAGCGGGCGGGTCAGGAGAGGTCTGCCACGCCATGTGGTCGCCTCCGGGGCAGGCGGGAATCGAACTCATGAGGAAGTGGCTTTAGATTCTCAGTGCTGTGCTTTAACCCGCTGCGCCACCAGGGAGGGCCAGCGTTGAGCTTTTTAAAAACATCTTTGTATCCATTATATGATGGTGATTAAGTGCTACTATGTTGGCGATGTAAATTTCTGGGGAAAATGCATTAAGAGGTGTTGTGCACTGTACATGGTCCAAGGAAATACCTGAAGCATTTTAGTTTGGGCGCTTGGGAAAATTCTTATACTTTTCAAAAACATACTCTCTATTTTAAAAACTAGTGATGCAAAGATATGAATGGCTTTCTCTTGTAGACAGACTGTCTAACCAGCAGAAGTGTAGTTATCTAGAGATAGTTACCAAATGTGCTGCTTTTTATGTGCACATGTTAAAATGTAAAGTTGTACTCTCTGAATGATGTAGTTGTATAAACAAGGGGCAAATCAATTAAAAAATGTTTTTATTTTTACTTACAAGATGAAACCTTATAAAACATAAAAGACCACCAAAAGTTATATAGCATTAATATATGAAATTTGTCAATAGTGGAAAGAATTTGTGAAATTTTATGTAATCCGGTATGTTTGTTCAGCCACTGCTTCGTTTTGACAATATTATATACCTCTATATATGCTTAGCTGTAAGAAAAAAGGATTTGAATTGTATAAAAAGTAGGTTTTAGCAAATGAGAACAAGGCGAACTTCTAAAGCTTATATAACCCAGTTATATAACTCAGTGGGCCATGTGTATGACATTAACTGAACTTAACCTATCCTGAGAAAGTAAACAAATATATTTCCTACCTGTGTCACTTTATCTTAACGTAAATTGAGAAACCTAATCTTTTACATTTTCTCACATGATTGCTTCTCTCCTAGTGATTATGGCTGTTTTTTTTTTTTATCTTTCTCAACCTCTAATTATTTATGAATAAGCCTTTACATGTACTAGGTTAAATAATTTCAGAACTCGTTGCCAAAAATGTGTGTATACACCAGTTTGCTTACTCCAGTACTCTAAGTTGCCACTGTCCACCTAAGACCAGGCTACCAATCCTCACACCAAAAAATTGCTAGAAGTGTGATCCATCCCACCTACTCCCTCTCAAAGAGACTCATCTTAAACGTTGGTTAGGTTCTTGAAGTCATCGTGTATATAGTCAAACCCTTGAAAAAATCCCTTTAGTCACTCATAAAATATAGCACACCACTGTGTGTATATGATACCATATCATTAAGTCTAAAATAGCCGTGTTCTTCAGTGAACCAATGAAGTAATTGGTTTGCATTTGGGAACGTGCTTAATGGAAAAAATGAAAAAAATGATGCTTTTGTTTTCCTAAAAGAGAGTATTAGAATTCAGGTTAGATAAAGTTGCACCTCCATGACTCTATTGTAGTCCCCTTGCTTTCTTATCCTACCTTTCAACGGCATCTTCACCCTCCTTTCTGAAGGCATTCGCAGCCTTTCATTCCTCTCAAACGGCGGCTGCCCATTTTCTCATTACCTGCAGACTACATGAGCAGTCTGGGAGGCAGGACTGGCATCCTCCCTGGCCAGCCAGTACCACTGTGAAACAAGCATTCTCTGCTTTTTTGGTAAAAAGCATTCTTTGAGCTTCCTGCTGCCTGACATACTACTGATGTTCATTGCTGTCATCCGCTGACCTCGGTCTAGTCATTCCTTCTCATTCACTGGAGACTTCAGTATCCAGCTCACTTCCATCTTCTGTATGCCTGTTTTGCCCTTATCTTGTTCAACATTAGCATCCATGTGCACTACACCTCAAATTCTCTGCACTCTAGTTCCTCATTTCCAGGATGTTTATATCAATGGCGTTTGAGCTGCCATCTCCCATGTCCTCATCCTGCATCTGGTCTTCGGGAAAAACTGGGAAATTCAGTCGCTTACCAGCCAACACATTCCAAATTGTTAAACTTCCAACTACACATAAATCTTGGGAGTTCATAGTGAGCTCTGGTCTCTGTCCCCTTTACTCCTAGCTGTCCCCACCTCTTCACATCTTTTCTTGTATAGCTTGGATGCCATCATTTCAGTGCCGGTCTGTTCATTCATTGTTTCCAAGTCGCTCCTCAAGCCCCTGTACTCTGAATTCTGCCCTCCACCCCAATGATACCTCTCTGACCAGGGAACTAACAATCAGCTTGTTGTTACTACTGGATTGTACAAATTAGTAAGGTTTTACTAAAAATACTTTTAATTTTGACTATCATTTTATATGCTCAGTGTTATCAATATAGTTTTTCTTCCATTTCAGCTTTATTACTAAAATACGCATTTTCTAAAAGTAGGCTATAAGCAACATTAGGCACTATTTACATTAATTTATGATATGTTGCAATTTAGCCCTGAGACTATTATATCATAATATATTAATATATTTCTATGGTGGTCACTTATTAGTCCATTTTAATCCTTGTTTTGCAGTTGAAGCTTTGTATCAAACTACATATCCAGAATATCTCCAGTATATTTATTTGGTGGCACCAGTATCTCTTATGATGTTAAACCCTATAGGGTTTATCTTCTGTGAAATCCAGAAGTGGAAAGACACTCAAAATGCTTCTCAAAACAAAGTAAAAATCGTGGGACTTGGACTTCTGCGTGTATTACAGAACCCAATAGTATTTATGGTCTTCATTGGCATAGCCTTCAATTTTATTCTTGATCAAACGGTGCCCGTATATATGGAAAATTTTCTTGATGGACTTGCAAATTCTTTTTCTGGAGCAGCCCTATTTTATCTTGGTCTGACAATGGTAGGAAAAATAAAGAAACTAAAGAAGTCAGCATTTGTGGTCCTGATTCTTCTCATCACAGCGAAACTGTAAGTTTCACTTATTTATCTTGGGGATTATAGTTTGGGAAAGCCTCCCAGTTCCTTGGGTTATGTTTGAAGCCATTTTCTTCTTTAAACTACTACTAAGTGAGTAGTTGCGATTTAAAAGAAACTATGGAAAGAAAACTAGATTGTTCTTTCCATTTCCTGTCAGGAAATAAAGACTATTGGCTTCCTTTAAATTTAATATAAATTAATGTCATCTAATTTGTGCTAGTTTGGTCATATTTTAAAGAGATTTTGCATGATTTCTGAGTTTTCTAAATCTTTTAAAATCCTAAAGTAGCATATTTATGAAAACAATAATTTTATATGTAAACATTTTTTCAAGAGTTTGGGAGAAATATTCTGAATTCTGAGGGTGGTTGAACTTTTTAAGTATAGGTAAGTCATATCTGAATGATTCTTATCAACCAACCATCTGTTCCTATCCTGTCAAATTAAAATTTCTCATCAACTGCATAGTTAATAGCTCTTCAGCTTACTTAGTTCTTTAATCATGGAATTGAACTTCATGGTACAGGTGACATAAATTACTGTCTGTAATCTATGCCCAAAGCACCTGAGATATACTTAACTATTGAATTTAGCTCTTGCATAGATAGTTAAATTCATGAAACCAGTGCAATATAAAAATGAAAGTTCTGAAAAAATGTTATGGTGGTGTTAGGCTCTTTGGAAATAAAGCATTAGTTAGCATTGCTACAGTGATAAATATGGTTCTACAATAATAGTAGTGACAAGTTCAACTTATAAGTAAAATTTAAATATTCTACTTTTCAAGTCATTTCTCCTGAGCCTTATACCTTTATTAGATGTTTTCATCTTTTTTTAAATCGAAAAATACATAGAAGAGTAGTTCTTTGTTCTGTCCTGGTGGGTCTCTGTACTGCTCTCTGTAATGCTGTCAATCTTGTTCTTTTTAAAGAAAAGCTCCATTAGCTCAGCTACTGTTGATAAGCTCTTTCTATGGAATCCTGAAGGATTTCTTTAATTGACTCTTCACCCAGTCAGAATTCCATAAATTTTCTGTTGTATATCAGTTATTTCAGTTCTCTTTGCCAAACCTTGTTGTCATTACAAAGATGAAGAACTGTAAGATACCAACTTTTCTATTGATATTAGAATCTAATTGAGCAACATTCTTATTTGAACCATTTAAACCCCTAATTATCATATTTTTTTCAATGGGTAATTTTCTTGGAAAAAAGTTTTTAATCTTTTTTCTTTTACTATTTCAGTGATCTAATAAAGAAAGCAGATATAATTTTTTTTACAATTTTTTTTTGCAAGAAAACTATTGGTATAGCTGCTTCCTTTTGCCTGTGCCTCAGAGAAAGCAAGATGGGTCACTACCAGCTCTATGGTGCCATCTGAGAACATTCTACCAGGATTGCTGTACTTGACCATATCCCCACAGTCAGATCCAAAAATACTGTCTCAGTCTGTACCACCAATGTTTCTGGCAATGGGCAAAGGATATGGGCATCATTTAAGTTGAATTAAGTGAATGTTCTTGAATTGGTCACCCAAGACATCTGTCTTACAGCAGAAACCATGCTAGCTCTTTAGAGTACTTCAAAAAAAGAAAATCTTTGAAGTATTTCTAGAGTATTGTACATTAAATCGCTCCAAGTTGAATTCTTGATTTGTACAACAAAGTACCTTCATTTGGCAGCAAAACGTGTGTGTGTGCAAATAGATATACACCTCCTGGGTAGAGTAGAATGATCTAGTGTCAAGTTTACTAAAGCAATTTACTTTTTAAGGACCAGCGTGCTTTGATATCAAATGAATAATGCATTTCTTGTTTCTTCAGCCTGGTGCTGCCACTTCTATGCAGAGAAATGGTGGAACTCTTGGACAAGGGCGACAGTGTAGTGAACCATACAAGTTTATCGAATTATGCATTCTTGTATGGTGTCTTTCCTGTAGCGCCAGGAGTGGCTATCTTTGCAACACAGTTCAACATGGAAGTAGAGATTGTATGTATATACTGCTTTCTAAGTTTGATTGTTTGTGTGGTTAGCAGAAAAATTAATTTTCTAAACACAGGAATCAGCATTTTTTTGTTAGTTACAATATTTTTCACAAATGTATTTATGTATTTTCCTACGATGTTGTTCATGTTTGGACAATAGCTGATCTCCCCCTCAGATGTAGATCCCATAGTTCTCCCACCACCACAGTACCCGTGACCATCACTACAGTCCCTTGTGTTCTTTCTATCCCTCCCCCTCCCCTGCTGGATGCCTCAGATCTATGATCCTCTTGCAAGTTTTGTCTTTTTCCTGGTCCTTGGAATCAGCATTCTTTCAGGAGAATTTGATGTCTGTAAACTCTTGTTGTAAGGGGGCATCATTCAACAACAGACTTAGTTAATTTAGGATCTTTATTCAACCATGACTTTATTGAATAATCTTTTTATTTGCAAATATATTATTGCTGTATTTATAATTAAGCCTAAAAGTTATTTACAGGAAGGTAACTTGAAATTTTGAGGAGACAGATGCATTTTATTCAACCATTAGTGTAAACTACTGCATTAAATAAATAACTGTTAACAGTAAATTGTTAACATCTAAGCACTAACTTGTATCTGTTGCATCAGAGCAAATATTTTTTAAATATAACGTAAAGGAGCTAAAGTGCTTAATGAAGATCAGTTTCATTACTTAGTCTATAAAATACTGATATGTACTTTTCCTCTTTTTGAATTGCTTTTTTTGCCTCATATCTTATGAAATAGCATGGAAGGAAACTAGACATTGGTTTAAGTAGGTCATTGATATAATTTACTTTCTACAACCTGGAAGATAACCATCAGCAGTGGGATGTCTATATTGTACATTAATATAACTTGAGCATAGTTTAGAAGAGCTTCCAAGGAAACTTAACTGTATTTTCTTTTAAGGACTCCAAGGAAAAGGGGAGTATTTGATAGTAATCTGGATTCTATATGTCCTTTTTCCTGACTCTTGTTTTTATTTTAGAATGCCTTAATATGTTCTGGCTATTTAAATTTTAAGGTAATTTGTCTAAGTGAAAGTGTGATTCACATTGATATCATTTTTGCAGATAACCTCAGGAATGGTAATAAGCACATTTGTGTCTGCTCCAATCATGTATGTTTCTGCCTGGTTACTGACCTTCCCCACTATGGACCCTAAGCCTTTGGCATATGCCATCCAGAATGTTAGTTTTGATATAAGTATTATCAGCCTGGTCTCCTTGGTAAGTGTGTTTCTGTGTGAAATAAATGAAAACCACAAAGTGAATTTGAGAATAGCTTGGTAACAGCTAAGTTAGGGATTTAAAAATATGATTCCTTTTGCAATAGAGAGAGCTGAAGCCTGCCCATAAAATACACCAGGCTTCTGAGTTTTATCTTTCCAATGGAGAGATAGATTGCATAGCAGACAAAATATGAGATTTTGTCAGAGTTGGATTTGACTTCAAGATGTATCATAAACTACCTCTATTATCTATTACCTTAACCTCTATAAGATCCATTTGCTCTTATAGAGATTCATTATCTCTATAGGATAGAGATACATTTTACCTATTTTTATGAATTGTTTTAAAGATAATATGAGATGGTATGTATAGAAAGCATTCTGCAGAGAGCAAATCACTATACAAATACCAGTTGCTGTAGAAGTCTGGAGTTGGAAGGGATCTTGGGATCATGACCAACTTCCTATTTAATGTTAGTGCAATTTTTTGAATGTGTTTCATTTAAACTGAATACATAAACACTTGAGAACTAGATGAAAGATCAAGTTTCCCATTGGATTCAAACATTCTGGCTAAAAAAAAAAAAACAAAACTTTACTGTTAGAACAGAGATAGGGATGAACATGTATGTTGACAACAAGTAAATACATAATTAGAGTAATTTTAGGAAATTAAACTTGCATATTCTTAAAAATCTGTGCCCATTGATCAATTGGGCAATTTGAAGAGAGAGAGACTATAAATTCTAAATAACATGATGGGGGGGAAAGGCAGAAAACTCACCAAGTACTTTGCTGGCCATTGTATAAATGGAATAGCAACTTAATGTTTTTAAATATAAGGAACACAAGATAATCTTAAGGTGGGCAATGTATACTGATTGCAGTAAGAATGACTGGAATTTAGAAGCTCATTAGCTAGTATGATGAAGTCAAAATGGGAAGATTTAAGAATGGTGTATGTTGTATCTGCATCTCCCGTTAAAGCTCTTTTCCTGAAGAGTGCACTGTGAACCTCTCTCTACTTCTGGTCAAAGCATTAGTTTCTTCCAGACCATGGCATCTTTAGATAGTTAATTTAGAATAGTGTCTCTCCATGCTTTTTACTTTTCTTTAGGGATAGTAGTTTACCTTAACACTCTTGGGAACTAGACAGTTTAAGATAAATAAAATTTTGGAATTTCTTTCCAAGCCAGGACAAAGAGATTTCCCTTAGAGGTTAATCCATGAGCTATTTAATACCTAATTGTAAAGATTAATAAGCCTAACTAACTTTTGGAACTTTTTTTCTTTTAAGATCTGGTCTTTGGCTATCCTTCTCTTGAGTAAGAAATACAAACAGCTTCCCCATATGCTTACAACCAATTTACTTATTGCACAGGTTAGTAAACCAACAAATTTATTCGGAGCTATGTTTTTCTCATGGAGGAAATTTACTTTGCTGGGTTTTTCCAGTTATAAAACAGAATCACTACCACATGGCTTAGTTACTGTTACAACTTGGCTACAATTAATTTCTCCTAATTTACTGAACTATATATATAAGGTCGTAAACTATATAGACTTGAGGCTAATGACAGTTGATAATTGTGCAGTTGTAATAGAAATAATTGAATCATTAAAAACTGAGCTCTCATGATCTTATTTTTGTAGTTAAATCTTTTGTATGTCACAAATTATAGTGTAAGGAAACTTGGCACGTTCTATGTAAACCACTGCGAAGTGTAAGATTAGTATATAAAATGTGTTCACTGCTGTTTCTGTGGAATATTTATGCTGTTAAAGGCTCTGTACAAAAATTTTTTAATCATAAAACTTGAAGTTTAAGTATAACTTCTATACAGTTGCTGACAGTACTCAGCAAAAATTTAAAATGAAAATTATACTTGTGAATAAACATGACAGACCTTTCTTTCCATATTTTTTTCCTTCAGTCTATTGTTTGTGCTGGAATGATGATATGGAATTTTGTTAAAGAAAAAAATTTTGTTGGACAAATCCTAGTGTTTGTTCTCTTGTACAGCTCCCTCTACAGCACCTACCTATGGACAGGTAAGATGGGTCATGAAAGTGTTCAACTTCCAGTGATCTCTTTGAAGTTTAGTCGTGTGGGATTAAGGCATTCACTCAGGTAGTTCCACCCACTCATGCAGGCAGTCTGCACAGCTGAGTTGTTCCTAATGTACTCTACTTCTGCTGGGACTCTGGTAGTTATCAGTTACATGGTCCTTTTCCTTGCTGTCACTGACTCTAGGCTGTCATCAGCACAGATTCCCATTAGAAACACCGCAAGAACAGACACTGAGACTGGTGGAAAAAAGACAGAATGAACAGAGATGTGGAAGGTGTGTACCAGGGCTCACTTTTAAAATCCAAGGGAACTGAATAAAATAATGCTGACTCTTGCTTATGCAAATAACTTAACTTTTGTAGCCTTGTCTGTTAGAATGGATTATTGCACTTAATAAGGTTATTTTGAGAATTAAATGAAATCAGAGTATTTATGTCTGATATATATATGGCAGGCACTCAATGAATTAGATTGTGTCATCATGCAGTGGGGAAAAGAATAATATGAGAACAAAAAAGTGAGTGAATAAAAGAGGGTGGAAATTAAAGAGTAACCAAATAAGAAAGACCTTTCTTGTTTCAGATATCTCCAGAAAAGGATATTTACATTGTGGTAGCACATTGCTATTCTAAAGATATAATATTTGTTTCAATGCATTTATTTTAGCATGTTTGTAAAACATTTTGTATAGCTGTTTGTGTTCATACCACAAATGTGAACATGTAAAGTGGCACATGAAAAGGAACTGTAGGATGATAGGGCGAGCTAGCAACACTATTGGTAGGCAGGCTACCGAGGACAGACCTTTGATTTCACGCATTCAGGATCAAAAGCTGTGCCCATCTAAGTCAACAGCCTTTTGAAGTAAAGCAACCATTTCATTACAGAATGAAAAATTAAGTGCAAACAAGAAGTTTTTTTTTTTTTTTAACACAAGTACACCTTGATAAGCATAATATTCGTCAAGGTTAAAGGCATTTTTTTTTTAAACTTTCAGATACAGATGATTCAGCTTGATTTCTAATGAAACTTAAGTTTATTAAGAATAAGTTTATAATGAAAATAAGACAGCAGCAAATAGATCAAAGTATCAAGAAGCCCCAAGTTTCCCTAAAGTCCTCTTCAAGTATGCATGCCAAAATCTGTACGAAGCATTATGAATTCCCTGACCTAGATGACCTTTAATCTTGAGATTATGATTATATAATAAAACCTGACACTTGAAATGTCATTTAAAAATCATTATATTGGGGCCCTCCCTGGTGGCGCAGTGGTTAAAGCACAGCACTGAGAAGCTCAAGTCACTTCCACATGAGTTCAATCCCCGCCTGCCCCGGAGGAGATCCATGCAGCGTGGCATGTAGCCATGCAGCGTGGCATGTAGCGTGGCAGTGCTCTCCTGACCCGCCCGCTGTTCCCCTCAGCAGTGTACTTCCTCGATCTGCCTGTTTTGCTCCCCACTCTGTCCCTGGTGAATCCTCTCACCCTCCGCATCTCTGGCCTGTATCCCAGCTCCCTTTGAATAAATAAATAAATCTTTAAAAAAATCATTATATTGTGCCATTTGCAGTTTTACTTATTTGCATATCAGCCACATGATTTTTGTCATATCTGCATATTTCTTATCCTTTTCCCCTTAAAATTGACTCACTTTTTTACTTTTGTAAATTGAGATAAACCTGTAAATTGAGATAAATCTCAGGTTTCATGTACTAATTTTCTAAAGCACTTGTTAAAATCAACACAAAACCAATCCTCAAGTTTTCACCTCTGTGACACCTATCATGTCTACACTTTTGGAAACACTGTTCTAGTCTAACCCCTTAATTTAGCAAGTGAGGAAAATTGGCCCATAGGGTCCAACTGGCTTGGACATGAGTACTCACAACCTGGTAAGTGAGAGAGTCACAGCAAGAGTTGGTATGTTTAAATATCAATCTTCACAAATCTGGAATAATGAGTACAGATTTCTGTAGGAATCATCATTGAATCTGGCTGGAGCTAAGTTGGTAGTTTGCTGGTATGTTTCTATATACATAGTTACTATTCACATCTCTTCCTTTCAACCTCTGTTAATCAGGATCTTAAAGACTGTCCTTGATTACTGTAACACGATTGTCATATTTTTTGTAATTGGTGACTTGTTTCTCTAGAATTTGAAAGCCTGAACTAGAGTGGACAAGTTTATTTAGGGAGGAGCAGTTGCAGTACTTTATGTTCTGAACTTGAGTAACATGGAGATCCCCTAGAAAGAGAAGCAATTCTCAAGGAGTTGATTCTATAGCATAGTGTTACAACCTATTCTGTATGATCATAGGCCTAGGTGTGATTTCTTTATATACAACTACAAATAATTAAAGCAAGCAGGTAAGAGTCAAACAAAACTATCAATTCAGTAATTTTAATTAGCAATTTTAACTGATATAAAGGTCTACTCTAAATGAAAGCTTGAAATGTGAACTAGAACTCAATTCTTTAGCTGGAGCTTCTTTAGTTTGGCTTGCCTTTACTTCCACACATGGGTTTATAACCTGGTAATCTCACTGCTTTTGTCGTCAAACTACCACAGAATGTTTATTTGGACTATGTGTTATGATATCATTTGGTTCCAACTTAATATAAGATCAAATGTAAGGCCTGGAATCATGAGACTCCTTGGCTTATAAGATGAGCGTTCAGATGATTAGTGTTGAAAATAAACCAAGACTTAACCATGTCTGGTAAAGTGTGTCTTAGGAACCCTGAGTTTTAGAAGCACTGATAGAGTTGGAAGACTATCTTTTGTCAGTCTGGTTTTCTAGTTCTGCTCTGCCCTCTGCTGGCTATGTGGCTTAGGCAGCCCTATTTCCCTATGTGTAAATGAAAGGGTTAATTTTGAACCTAAAATCTACAGATATGCAGAATTTATTACATAAGATGTTACTTGTATAAATAATTACATGCAAGGTTTAAGGAAAGCTCAAAATTTTTAAAACATTTGGTTTTTATTAATTTCACATTGTACCTTTACTAAGTTCTGTCATTTAGATGTAGACATTTTCTACCAATATAACCTGGTTAAGAATTGCCTACACTTATTAGCACCCACTGAGTGTGTGTGTTTTTACTTTCAGAATCTTCCTGGATGCAGTTAAACTTGTTTTCCAAATACACTGAGATTGTAGATGTATCAGTCAAAAGAATAAAGTGATTTGGACTTTGGTGGCGGGGAGGAATCAAGTATAAAATAAAAAGATCTGGATATGTTAACAATATGAAAGGGAAAACATGAATGACTTTAGAGAAAAATAACTTGATTCAAAATACTGGGGACAGCATTTACTTAGAAGGAGTAAAATGTAGGGTAAAAACTGTTGACTATTTGGTTCCATGATCTGATCAACACTAATGATCTTTCATCTCTATTTCTTGTTCTTAGGTCTTCTAGCAATTTCTTTGTTTCTTTTGAAAAAAAGAGAGAGGGTACAAATTCCTGTTGGAATCATTATAATATCTGGCTGGGGGTAAGTTGGTAGTTTTCTTTTCCCTTTCTTGTTTCCATACACAAAGTTGCTATTCACCATCTTTCTTTACCTTTAAATCCTTGTTGTTACAGAATTCCTGCTCTCCTTGTTGGTGTTCTTTTGATAACAGGGAAACATAATGGAGAGAGCATTGACTCTGCTTTTTTTTATGGAAAAGAGCAGGTAAGAAGAATTTATAGATATCTCTTTTTAGCTTGTAAATGTGTTTGGGTATACTTATGTCAAAATTAATTTTTAAAATCTATTCCAACTTTTCTTAATATCATACTGTGATCCTTATTACTTTCTTAAATCATCCCTTAAATATGAAATATTAAAAAAATCATGTCTGTGATTTTTTTTTAGGAGAGGATTTCTAAATGTTTGAAATTTACTGGGTCTCAAACATGCTTCTGAATTATGTTTCCTCTACTGGAAGAAAGAGTAACTAATTTAAAGTCATTTAATCAGTTCGCAAAAATATAAATAAAAGCTAAGTCTTGACTTTTAATACTAGCATATATATAAATTGCAGACCAAAAAGTATCTAGGAGAAAGTGTGCTTTAAAAGCTATTGAGGGACTTCCCTGGTGGCACAAGGGGTTAAGTCTCAGTCTAACTCAGTCACAGCAGCACAAGTTCAATCCCCAGCCAGGGGACTGACCACATGGCACAGACCTGTCCTGTCTTGCCCACTGCTCTCCTCAGCAGTGTATTTCAGTAGACCTGCCAGTTTTGCTCTCCACTCTGTCTCTGGTGACTCCTCTCCCCTCCACCAACACCTCCAGCCTACACCCCAGCTCTTGTATGCATATGTAAATAAAATAAATCTTTTTAAAAAAGAAAGAAAGAAAAGCTGTCAAGTAGGAGGCTTATAGGACTTAATCAGAATTCTCCAGGGGAAGAACCATAAAAATCCGCTAGTTTCTGAAGTACATTGAAACTATGTAATAAAATAAGTAAGATGATGAAATAAAGAAAAGGTTTGTAAGCAAATATTTCAATTGATAATAGAGGAAATCAGTGACTTTGATGTACGAAAGAAACATCTAGATACCTCATGACTATAAGCAAACCATAATTTCTCCCATGTAACTTAATACTTTGTATATTCCTGCCCTTTTTAAAGAACTGCTTCAGAGCATTTTTGACTATAGAGATGTTGCATCTTTCACGAAAAAGTACCCTTTACCTTTGCTGCTACCAAGTTGGGATTGTAAAGAGTGGCTTAATGATCTTTTCCCAATGTTGGCAGATGATTATCACGGCCGTCACCCTGTTCTGCAGCATCGTTATAGCCGGTGTGTCACTCATGTGCATGAACCGCACCACCCAGGCAGGGAGCTATGAAGGATTTGACCAGTCTCAGAACCACAAAGAAGCAGAGCCTGGAGATACTGCTTTTGAGGAGAATCCTGTGCCAATAAGCGAACCTGAACCTTTTACAAGTTCTATCCCAGAAACAAGTATGACCTTAAATATCTAAAATATTCATACATGCTATTTTATAGCTTATCCTAAATATTTTTATTTAAGGGAACTTTATTAATGATTAAAATATCACAAATATTTGTCAGTGAGAAACTTGAATCATAGTCAATAATAGAAAGGGTTTGCAAGTTCAATACTAGATTCTTATCTTTTGATTATATTATTAGAAGTTCATTCTTTTTAATCCTTTTGGCCATTTTCTCCTTTAAAATGGAAATTCAAAAATGTTTTCACCAAAACCTGCTTTCCTGAAGTCTAAACTTTCTGATCATGCCCAGCATCCTTACCCACCTTGCTTTAAATTGTGTACACTTAAGTTCATTTTATAAACCAGTCTGGGTATTGTTTTCAGGCAGGTCAAACTCTTAAATTTTCTTAATCCCCTGAGTGGGGAGCCCTGAACTATGTCTTAAGCCCAGAGAATTTTGCTGCTATCTCTCTACCTGTCTTTTAAAAATAGCAAATTCTACATACCATAGATGTTGTTTAAATCTTGTCATCATTATCTCCAACAGGAAAACTAGCTTGCAGCTTTAATATGATTCAGTTGAGAGCCAGGAGACAGCTATCTCCATAGGAAAGCTTCTATAATGTTTATACTGCTATTCCTCTTAGCTCACTCTTTTATAATTGCTTTTTAAGTGATATGCGTAACCCACTAGACTGTAGTGCTATCACTGACTGCCCTTAATTATAGCCTCAGCACCTAGCCTGGTATCAGGCTGACTATACCTACTTAGTAATATTTGTTCAGTGGATGGATGGGTGGATAAGACACACCAGGGTTTTCTGAAGCTAACTTGGGAACTGCTATGGTAAAGCATTTGCTTATATACCAGTTCACTCATGTTCCTAGAGAAAAGGTTCTTCAATCTGCTGGTTATTTTCCTTCCTCAAACCCTGTTCTTCTCTGCCTGGCTAGTAGTAATCACACATAACACACTAGGTATCCTGGCTGCCCTTGCCCAATCTCATTAACCCAAACTAGTTCACTCACCTCTGCCATCTCTGTGAGAGCTCCATGATTTGAACGTAAGTGTAGAATTATGACTGAAAGGGAAATTAACCTATTTTAACATGAGATTAAAGGTTTAGTTAAGAGAAGGCTAATGAGCTACTTATATAATGCTTATGTATAAAGGGAAAAAAATGCCATAGTATTTTTCATGGTGGCATAGTTGTGTGTGTGTGTGTGTGTGTTTGTGTTCCACACATGTATGTCATTGCAATAGCTGGCCCTCTCGCTCTCTTTTTTTTTTTTTTTAACAGTTTTTTTTCTTAGCTGATTTAAGCCTTTAAGTTTCTGAAGATGAGAGGGCTGGGCACAGATGACCTCTGTATTTTCTTTCCTACTATTCTGTGGTTCTATTTTAACCTTGAGGTGGCATCATTATCTTCAATTTAGAAAGACATTTGTAATAGCTTATTATAGATTGTAGTTTGGAATCTTTTTCTTTTTAAGAACACTACTGAAAAGTAAAACACATTATCAATAAAAGTTTCTGCCTAAGAATTATTTCTTTTTTTGCATACTAAATTTTATTACTGAAGTTATTTTTCTATCATAATTTGTGTCAAGGAGCATCATGTCTATATGTCTACATGTCACCACGTTTAAAGGATATTGCATGCGATTGTCTGAATACATTTGGGGAACAATTACAGCTTTACAGTAGATTTTCAGTATGAACTCTATAAACCAGTCTACCTATAAAACAACAAGAGATTTTTAGGGGTATTTATTTGAAAAGAAAAAAAGAATGTAATTGCTTTTATTGCATTCTCTAAACTTAAAGGAAATAATTTCTTGAAAGAAGTGAGTTTTGAGCTAAACTCACAATAAAGAGAGGCTTCGGATGAATTAACAAGAATGTGAATTCCATGTCAAACTTATTTAGGGTTGAGACCCAAATAAGAATAGAGTTCATGGTGAACACTAAAGAATTGTTCTGAAAAAATTCAATAGCAGGAGTGGTTGGATAGGGAGAAAGAGCCCAGTCATAGAAAGCTTTCAAATTTAGGCCAAGGAGTTTGAACTTGACTACAGTAAGCAATAAAGCATTAATGTATGTTTTCAAAGAATGATGAAATAAATGTATTTTGTGAAAACCTTCAAATTCTTAGAACAACAGAAGCTGATAAAACAATATAGATAAAAACGTTTTTTCTTAAACAATGAAGAAAAATATCTAAAGGGGTTGATCCTATATCCACCACTCTTTAGTTGTTCACTTCTGTATATGTACATTTGAATACTTTCAGCAAGTTTTGTTTTATTTGGCATCTCTTGAAGTTGTCTATTTCTGTTGTGGTTGGGCCCTACACTGACATGTTTTTTATCTATACAGGTTGTTGTTCTTGCTCCATGGGAAATGGTGACTTGCACTGCCAGTCCACAGAGCCAGCAGCAAACACAAGCACCAGTGGGCCTGAGATTCCTTCCTTTGATAAAAGTAAGTACCTCTCGGCTGACAGGGTGTGCCTAAGGAACGGAGGTTGGTTATTTATCTTTATGCCTCCAAAGAACTCTACATAGACTTTCTACCGAAGATGCATATTCTTTGAGCCCTCCCTGGTGGTCAAGGGATTAAAGAGCAGCACTATGAAGCTCTCCACAGCCACTAAAGCACAAGTTCGATCCCCAGCCAGGAAGGTGACCCACATGGCATGGCAGACCTCTCCTGTCTTACCTGCTGCTTCCCTCAGCAGTGTATTTCAGTACATTTGCCTGTTCTTTTCCCCACTCTGTCTCTGGGTACCTCTGGTCTATACCCCATCTCTTGCATGTATAAATAAATCTATAAAAAAAAAAGGATACATATTCTTTGAGAAGATATATTTCAAATAAGGTAGTAGAAAGTACCAACAGAATAATAATAATGCATCTTTTAAAAGAATAAAGTTCTTATAATGTAGTAATAAGTATGTACTGTGTATGTGTATTGGAAAAAACCACACATATTATTTTCCAATAAATTTAATTAAAGTGATAATTCCTAGAAATTTGTCCAAGGGGGCCATTTTTGGGGCCTTATTTCCTGGTTTAGATGTCCAGAATTTCCCCTGATTCCATCTCCCAGGGCCAGGGCTAAAAGTAATATTTTGGCAGTTAGATTAAGAGACCAAATCACATTTGTGGTATGATTGAAAATTTTTAAAACAACTAAACATATTTATGTGAAATTGCAGTGCACTTTCAGTTAATTATAATCATATGGGAAGGGAAACCCACAAAAGTTCTCTTTATGGTGACGCATATGTCAACTGTATTGTTGTCAGGTGTTATGTTTTTATATAAGAAATGTTGTGAGAATTTTAAGTACTATATGTGCAAATCACTTACACACTGTTCATTATTCATAGTAAATGTTGACAAAGAATAAATCTTATATAATAGTATTCACATTTCCATAGAAAACTGAACTTATCAGATGTTAGGCCTTTAGTGACTTTTGCATAGAGAACCCCTTTTGGGATTCCATTGAACTGTCTTTCTGCTTTTATTTGTGTGTCTCTTTTCTAAAGCAAATTTCTTTACTTCAGAATTTCTTGGCTTGCTTTTTTTTTTTTTAAAGATTTATTTATTTATACATTTATATACAGTTATTTATTTATCCTGAGGCACAGGCCAGAGGTGCAGGGGTTGTGAGAAGATTCACTAGATAGAAACAGAGTGGGGAACAGAACAGGCAGATCAACAAAGTACACAGCTGAGGGGATTAGCTGGGGAAACAGGAGAGGACTGCTTGGCCATGTGGGTCACCCCCCTGGTCGGGAATCGAATTCACACTGAAGCATCTGTGGCTAGCTTGCAGGGCTGGGCTTTAACCTGTTGCTCCAGCAGGGAGGGCTGGCTTGCCTCTTTTTTTCTCCCTGCACAGTATACCTAAAAGTAAAGTTCTTTAACAAAACACTGGCACAGCACAAAGGCAAAATAAATATTGTAATATGTAAAACTTAAAAAGCAAATGAAAGTAAAATTTATTTCTATCCACTTTTGTAATACCTGTATATAATATTTTAACAACATGTTTCTTACCTATACTGCTAGAATTTCTCTATGCCAAGATCTACACAAATAATTTCTATTAAAACACTATCATACTACTGAGACAGTTGAACAGCTACTTAATTTTTACTTAGCAACATAGTAAACCTTCCCCACTGCCACTAGCTATTATGCTAGGCCATAGTTAAACTCTATGCATCCTTTTTTCTAAAAGGTGGTTTTAGAGAAAATAAATTTTTATGCTACGTTGAGGGTAAGAAGTATAAAATTATGTTTTTCAATAGCTGACTTAAAAATCCAACTGTATGTTGGACTTAACATCTATTTTGTCAAGATGTTTTTCTCAGCTTTTGGTGTCATTTCTACAGTGGAGCTGAGATAGGGAAAAAAGGGCTTCTTGCAAAAGCCCCTACATCTCTATTTTAGAATACAGTCCCTGTGATTGGGCTTGTTTGCATATGCGAACAGGAAAAAAATGTAGTATTTTTTGTTTGGTTCTTTAAAGGTCTTTTCTAAGGCAAAATTTAAACTCTTTGATGAATGGGATAGTCATAAATTTTTCAAAATTTAGGTAAAATACAGTATTCCTGTCCAATACACAGATTTATCACAGGTGAAACTTGAGTTATTAATTTAATGTTAACACAACGTGTGTGTGTGTGTGTGTGTGTGTGTGTGTGTGTTGGTGCATGCACATAAGTGCTAGGTCCATAGATGCTACATTGTTGAATAGTGTCAAAGGGAATTATTGTATGCTAATCACACTTAATTCTCAATTAAAAGACCTTAAAGTAGAACTATCCTACAACAACATGAAGGAGCCTTCCTCAGATTTCATCTAAAATAATATACTGATTCTGAGCTGAATGCGCATATGTGGTAGTTTGCTTAGGAAGTCATTATGAATTTAAAATGCATTCAAATAAAAAGCTCTGATTACAAATTGTTGTGCTTACTGTCTTATAGATGATCATTGTGTGAGTCGCTGTAACTCCCAGAGCTGTATATTAGCCCAGGAAGAAGAACAGTATCTACAGAGTGGAGACCCACAACTGACTCGACATGTGTTGCTGTGTTTACTTCTCATTATTGGCCTGTTTGCTGTAAATGTTTCTTCTGATTTTGTTTAGGGGGCATTTCTTTCAGTGTTTGACAAAGGTTTTCCTTCAGGCATCTGGGAGAAATTTAGTTGTACTTCCTAGGGGTTGGCAGCTAGACTATGGACTATCTGAATCCTAATCTTAAGCTAAGTGTTTGGGGGTAGGTAGGTGAAGAGAATGAATAATTCACATTACTTTGTTGCATACATGCCCCAATAGTTTATATTGGTTGGAATCACTTACTCGTTCTATGCTCTCAGCCTAGAATTTGGTAAAACCAAATAGCTGATGCAGGGCCACTTATTAATGCATTCTTTAACTTGAATGGATAAATGCCTACATGATCTTTCAGAAGATATTCCCCATACTTATAGCCTCCATATGTAACTACAAAAACAAAACCACCACTTCTTATAAAATATACATACAAAAGAATAGGAAAAGGAGGGGAAATACGCATCACACAACTACCTTCTATTTTTGGTACATTTTTATGGTTCTGATCATACATCCAGATTTACATCCCGTTTTTCACTTATGTCAGACATTTTCATGTGCTGCATAGTTGTTAATAACTATTACTTTAAATGTTCTTCAATCAACCATAAAGGTGATGATACATTATAATTTCCTCAATCACTTCCATATGGATTGTTCCTAGTTTTTCAAAGTGCTCTAATAAGCATCTCTATGCAGTATATTTCTTTATGATAGTCTTGGAGTTGGGAACCTGGATCAAAGAAGTAATAATTTTTATATGACCTTGGATGCCTTCCACTAATTTTTTTTTAAAGGACTAGTACAGACTTGTAAAATACTCTTACCACTGTTGAATATTATATGTGTTTTAAAGTAAAATATAAGCTTTAAGAAGAATGCATTTCTTTAATAACCGTAGGCTTTTTAAAATTAGTTTCAGGTCCTCATTAGTGAAGTGTCAGTTGTTATTATATAGTTCTTTCAGATAGTTCAAGTTAACTTTTCCAGAGATAGAAGATGGACCATATAGCCTATGAAGAAACCCTTTTACCCTTTTCACATTGGGATGCTTGTTACATTTTAACAGCTATTTAAGAACAAAAATCCAAAAGTAAGAAATGCTGCCAAGAATTGCTGCTTAGTGATGTGATTGTTTTCATTGTGTAGAACTAATTTTAAAATCAACCCTGTCTTAGGCTAGTCGGCAGCCCTGATGTATTATGTAAGCTTCTGTATTATGGCTCATGTCTTCGTGCTTCAAGTCTGATCAGAATAGATGCTGTTTGAATGACATCTGTCAAGAGAAGAGGTTGAAACCTCTTGTTCAAAAGACAAAGCCTCTATATTCTCTCGGTGTTTTTCCCTTTAATCTTTTTCTCCCTAATTATTAAGTAGATAAGTTATTGTACTGTGTGCTGGATAGAGAAAAATGATTAGCTTGCTTCATTTTAAAGTACTATTTTCTTCTTCCTTTACAGAATCTTTCCAGTTGTTTATGGTGGCTATTCAACCAAGAGCCTGGAAGACTGTATGTTGAGTTACAGTTTTTCTGTGCTGTGTTTAACTTTGGCCAGGTATTTCTTAATTGAGAACTTTGAAGGGTTTTTGTTTTTCTTGGATGGGTTGATTGGGGGGGAGGGTGCGGATGTTGTTTTCTTTTAAATCCAAAGGGCATAGTCTGTTTGCCAGCTGCTGGTGGGCATGACAGCTGACAGCTGCTGCCTATCTCCTAGTAGAGATGAATTATTATATTGGTTAAAGTCATCAGAATGCACACTGAGTGTTTCAATCACAAATACCAAAACGTTTTTTTTTGCTTTGGTTTGAGATAAAGAATGATAATTTAAGCAGAGACAAGATGTTCCAAGTTCTTTTTAAACTTTGTTGCGGCCTTACTAAATCACTTTGGGAAAATGACTTACCTTCCCTGAGTCTTTAGTTTACTCTTTATATTGATGGACATCATTTTATTCATATGTTGATATTTTGTTGAACAATAGGTACTTAAATCTTTTTAAAATGTGGTGACTGAACAAATTTTGGAAAGGGTAATAATAGTCATTGCTATTCTTTCAGAGTCTAATATATGCCAAGCATTGGTAAGCATTTTACATTAATTTTCTCATAAACATCACAATAAAATCTTCACAGTTTTTATCATCCTCAATTTAAAAATTAGAAACTAAAATCCACAAAGACCTAAAATGACAGGTGCTGTTGTCTTTGTGTCACTATTGAGTATACATGACATTTTACATATTGATAAAATGGTTTTTATGTGCAAATTTCAAATTTAATGTTGTCTTCAATCCCTTACTTTTTAATTAAAGATTACTATTTAGCTGGAAAAAAAATGTGTTTAAAATTACTGGGCTTGTCTTTTAGATCTGAACTGTCTATATGAATTAGTTAACATTTATTAGTAGATACTCTTGTAAGTTTTCCCTAACCTTGATTTCTTGAAATATTTCCAGTTTGTTTTGCCATTATTGTGGGAGCAATTCTGGCTGTCTAAATAACCAGTGACTTCAATCAGGTTATTACAGACGGACATGAGCATCTCAAGGGCTGCCTCATGCCTGCCTTACTTTGTGATACTGTTTAAGACCTGATTTGAGATACTGTGCAAGAAAGACCTGACCCAAGAACTATTAAAACACCAGGTTGAAAAGTCATACTCTTGCTTAACATTTTGCATTCAGAAACCCACTCCACACAGTCATACCAGGAAAGCTTAACTTCAGAAAGTCGTGCCATTTTTTTTTTTTTTAAGATTTATTTATTCATACAGAACTGGGGTACAGGCCAGAGATGAGGAGGGTGAGACAATTCACCAGAGACAGAGCGGGGAGCAGAACAGGCAGATCTACCTGTTGAGGGGAGCAGCTGGGGGGTCAGGAGAGGTCTGCCGCGCCACGTGGATCTCCTCTGGGGCAGGCGGGGATCAAACTCATGCGGAAGTGGCTTTAGCTTCTTAGTGCAGTGCTTTAACCTGCTGCGCCACCAGGGAGGGCCAAGTCGTTCCATTTTAATGGTGACATAAAGACAATAGCACCTGTCATCTTAGGTCTTTGTGGATTTTAGTTTCTAATTTTTAAATTGGGGATGATAACAACTGTGAAGATTTTATTGTGATGTTTATGAGAGAATTAATGTAAAATGCTTACCAATGCTTGGCATATAGTAGACACTCAGAAGTTAGTGCCAGGATTGTTGCATTTGAAATGGTACACCCAGAGCTCTATGGTTCAAGAGCTCCAGAGTAGGAGAGAAAGTAAACTTCTGTTTCCATCCCATTTTCTCCTTGGGAAAGTATGTGAGGTCATTCTTTTGGTTGGTTATAGTTTGAGGATGAAAAAATGTAGGACCTTTATACAATACAAAGCATTCTCCATCCCCCCTCCCACCAACTTGTGCTCACATTCTGATCCCGCTGTGGCTGACAGCATGGCAGTTCCCAACCTCCCAAACAGTCCTTATTGTCCTGATATGGGGCTGCTATTGGTGCAATTTTGGAAATGGCACCATCAAATAGCATGTGGAATCTTTCAAATACTTCCTAGTCACTAGCCAGTTTCATTTCATATGAATTTCTTTAGTGACTGCAGTCACTGTTAATTCTATAACTTCTGAAATTTTGGCAGAAAAAAATAATAAATGCTTACGCACAAGGGGAAGATTTTTTTTTTTAAGTGGAAAGTAAGTAGCCTTTAAATGTTTGTACTTTTCTTCATTAAGCTAGCACATGAATGTGGCTAGCTGCTCAGCATTGGTCTGTATCCTCCATCACAGTTAGTAGGACAGAGGATGGGGAAGAGGCAGCCAAGTATCAGACCTGCCTCTTAGGCACTAAATTTTTAGAGAAACTGCCTGTGTGTTCCATTTAAATGTTCTAATCATTATAGGTTTTTTCCCCCATGCACTAAATCAGGTGAGTTCCATTATTCCTGTGGGTTAGTATTTATTGTTGAGTTCATAAAATCTTTCTTTTTCTTCCATAGGGATTTATATCCTTTGGAATCTTTGGATTGGACAAACATTTAATCATCCTACCTTTTAAAAGAAGGCAAGTTTAGTTTTCAAATAAATGTATAGCCATAAAAGTGATAGCAAAGCCAGTCTATTAAAACACTGATATTTCAAAATCTCTGGTAACTGCTAGAAGACACAGAAAGGGGAAACTAAACAAAACAGAAAGGTTATCTTTTGATTCACATATTTGTTGCAGATAATGGCAGAGGAAATATTTGAAGACTATTATTAATCCAGCATGTATTTTGCATTCTGAGAAGGAATGAAAGATGTTTACTTCTGCCTAGTCCATAAACTACATAAAGTTAAATGAAACTTGGAAGTGTATTAAGAAATGGAAGTTGTGGTGTGCCCCCAATACCTATACTTGTCTTTCTCCTTTGACAACAGGATTTCTCTATCATATTGACAATTTATTAAAAACCCAAGGTTTCTAAAATTTTGGATTTTTACTAGCTTTGTGGAAAGTTTTTTGAAGGCAAATCCTTATAGTTGTTTTCGAAATCAAAAGTTGTAGAAAATAAAAGTACTAATAGAATATATCCTATCAACTGTATAAAAGGCATACAGAAAGTGGACACTGGTCTTTCTGCCTTTTCTGTTTTCATCATTGTAAGTTATAGCTGAGGACCACCGATCTGAAGCAAGGTGGGGGAGCAAGTGAGGGATCAAAATGGAAGGAAAGAGCACAAAGGACTGGAGAGAGGGATCACAGATACCATGGTGTGAGAGAACTGAGGCGACCACAGCTGAGGGGAGAAGTCAAATACTGCACAAAAATGAACAGTGATGTAAGATAATTAGTAAATTAGTTAAAAAGATATAGTAGCTTGGTCATAAGTCTTTCATAAGGGGAGTGAAGTGTAATAGGAAAATCACTAAACTTATTTCAGCTTCATAATGTTTAATACTCAGTTAAAAAAACATCCACAATGCAGTTGTTCGAGCTAGCAGAAACAGAATTGTTCTCTACTTTAGATCCACTCATTTTTTTTTTCTTCAGTACTGAAATTGGAAAATGATGGAGTACTTGATCTTGGTGAGATATTTTTGCATTTTAAAACAGTAAGACTATAGAATAGGTCACATTTTTTGGTAGATATTGAGTGGGTCAAATATGTCTAGAGAGGTTATAAAATGTTCAAATGCTCTAGCCACTGCCCATCCCAGTCTTCTTTCAAATAGTCTTGTTGATGGGGTAGCAAGTGGGTGGGGTTCTCTCTTTGCTTTTCTTTCCTTAAAATGGCCTCCTTAAATTTTGATTTTTAGACTTGAATTCTTATGGACCAATAAAGAAACAGCAGAAAACAGGAATTCTCCTGTTCCAGAAGAAATAAAAATGACTTGTCAACAGTTTATCCACTATCACCGTGACCTCTGTATCCAGAACATTGTCAAGGAAAGGAGGTAGGTACACATTCCAGATAATTAGGCTGAGTGAAGTGGTGTGACTAAATGATTGACATTTCAATGGCACATATACATGTAAAAAGTAGCTTTGGATCAGTTTATAATTTAAGAAACAGAATTAAAAGAGCCATGTCATTTTGATGTTCACTTTTTCAAATATAATATAATATCTGATTTTATATAAAATTTGAAAACTTTAGTTCCAAAATTGCAAAAATGTAAAATATTAACATTTACTTTATGTTGGACATTAATATCTCACTGAATTTCGAGATACATTAGATTCAGAAGTGACTTTATGTTTGAGTCTCCTAATGGTATATTATTTCCTAACACTAAAGATGCAAGAAAATGAAATAAAAGTTCTGTGCCTTAATTCTGCTGCTACTTTTCACCTGAAGTCCTAATTGTTAGTCTGTCACACTTAATTATTTTGCTAATTCTCAAGGTATGGAGCATGCAGTAGGAAATTAATAAACAAATGTAATAGTACCAGAATTTTTTTTTGACTGTTGTAAAAGAGAGGAAAAACCATAAAGAGGGCCCTCCCTGGCGGCGCAATGGGCTAAAGCACAGCACTGCAAACCAGCCGCAGTCGTGTCAGTGCGAGCTCAATCCCCGCCCACCGCGGAGGTGACCCACATGGTGCGGTAGACCTCTCCTGTCTCGCCCGCAGCTCCCCTCAGCAGTGTACTTGGTCAGTCAGCTTGTTCTGCCCCCCTCTCTCTCTGGTGAATCCTCTCACTGCCCCTGCACCTCTGGCCTGTACCCAAGTTCTGTATGCATAAATAAATCTTTAAATAAAAAATAAAAAAACATAAAGAACCAAATACTTTGTCTATAACTGAGAATTTGAAAAATTATGGTTATCATTCAAGATGCTTTGTTTACAAATAATTGTTACTATATTTCCTCATACTCAGAAGGTAGTCTGGAATAGCCATTGACAAGGGGAAGAAAAGTTAATTTCCCACTCATCTAGGGCATTGCAAAGTACCACCTGTGAGTAGTTTCAACAATTTACAATTGCTTTTTAAAATTAAAAAAGGGGGCCCTCCCTGGTGGCGCAGCGGGTTAAAGCACAGCACTGAGAATCTAAAGCCGCCTCCGCATGAGTTCAATTCTCGCCTGCCCCGGAGGTGACCACATGGCGTGGCAGACCTCTCCTGACCCGCCCACTGATCCCCTCAGCAGTGTATTTCGTCGATCTGCCTGTTCTGTTCCCCACTCTGTCTCTGGTGAAGTCTCTCACCGCCCCTGAGCCTCTGGCCTGTACCCCAGTTCTGTATGCACAAATAAATAAATCTTTAAAAAAAAAAAATTAAAAAAGGGAACCCATGTTCATGTGATGGCTGACTTTGAGGGAGCGAGCTCCTGCCATCTGCAGGACTGAGGTCACAGGCGGCTGAGTGGGCACTGATTGCCCTGGGACAGCCCAGCGCCCTGTACAATCACATTCACCGCCGCTCTGTACAACTCCGGGGCTGTGATTTTAGCCCCTTGTGCATGGCCTGGAAACAACCATTCTGCTAATGTCTGGGATAGAAAAGTGTTGAGCTATAGACTAAAAATTAACGTGTACAAAGAAGACTCAGATTCAGGTTGTAAAACTCAGGTTTTTGTGGAAAGTGATATTTGTAGTAGCAAAGTATAAATTATCTTATTGCTAAGTGAAATACTGGTGTTAAAAGCTGTCATGTGTATTAACTTCTCATCTAATTTTTGTATAAAACTTATGTATATTCATTTGTAGTTTTAAAATGTTTTAAAATTTTTGTCATCTATTTCTTGTTCCATCTTGATTTTCACCTAGTCTTTCCTGTTGTCAAGCATAAGTTTTACAGCTTGACTGATGCTTGTGGACTGATTCCTATTTGCTGCATACATGTGTGAAAACACACAATTTCTTTTTGTTTTTTTCTTTCCCTTGTTTATTCACACATGAGGTGCCCCACATTTGCATTAGGAATACAAATTTTAAATATTCATGAGTTAGATTCATAATCCAAATACATTTAAAAAGTCAAATTTCACTTAGTCTTTCCTGGCTCCCAAATGTAGCAAATTACTAAAAAACATACCAGAAATATTATCTGGGCTGCTGATGACAAGAAAGGCTACTTTTGGGCACGTTAATAAGCTGAAAATAATAATCACTAATAATTATATGATGTTAATAATCATTTGAGTAGCTTAGTAAAAAGTCACTTCCTAAGAACTTGTAAAAAAGTATTTAGTGTCCCTGGGATTATAACTGAATGTAACTTTAAAAATATATAATAGTTGGGCCCTCCCTGGTGGCGCAGCGGGTTAAAGCACAGCACTGAGAATCTAAAGCGCTTCTGCATGAGTTCGATTCCCGCCTGCCCCGGAGGTGACCACATGGGGTGGCAGACCTCTCCTGACCCGCCCGCTGCTCCCCTCAGCAGTGTACTTCGTCGATCTGCCTGCTCTGTTCCCCACTCTGTCTCTGGTGAAGCCTCTCACTGCCCCTGAGCCTCTGGCCTGTACCCCAGTTCTATATGCACAAATAAATCTTAAAAAAAAAAAATATATATATATATATATATATAATAGTTGGCTATAGAATAGGTCTGACCATAAAAGGGCAAACTACAGTAAAAACTCTTTGACAATTGATTTACATTGCCTAAGTTTTTTTTTTTTGACACTTTTTTTAAGCATTTCTGTTTTCACAAGCATTATTGGCACATCTTACTTTTTCTGTTGTGGGCCTTTCTAGATGAGGTAAATTAACAAGCCCTTACTATTCAGAATAGTTTCATTCCTGCCATACTTTTTAACTGGCATGCTGTCTTCCTTGTCTATTTTTTCCTTGCTTACCCTCTATCATCCAGATTTACAGAACATATGGGTGAATCATTCCTTTGACATACAGGTGTGGTGCAAAGACTTCTACCGGGACCTTCTGTGGCTGTGATCTGGTGAACTGGCTGATTGAAGTTGGTCTTGCTTCTGACCGTGGTGAAGCTGTCATATATGGAGACAGACTGATGCAAGGGGGAGTCATCCAACATATCACCAATGAGTATGAATTTCGGGATGAGTATTTGTTTTATAGATTTCTTCAAAAGAGTCCTGAACAGAGTCCTCCTGTTGTTAATGCAAGCTCTCCCCAACAAGAAAGATACAAAGATATTGAACATTCATATCCATCTCCTAAGACCTAAATTACGAGAAACACATATGGAGTCTTCTTCTAGGCCTAGATGTTACACACGGACTGTATGACAAGGCACAATCTTTCTGAGCCTATCACTTCCTCTATAAAATTTAATGTGTTCCCACCCCATGATAACACTATGTGACTTTATATTATGTAACTGACTTAGCAAAACAAGAAAACCAAACCATAATTTAGTTTGATGATGAATACCATTACTGTTGATTAATTATAGCAACATTTGAAAACATTTCTTCCAACAATATTTTGCAATAATTTTAAAATCAACATCCAATTTACTGTTCCTTTAAATTGCCAAATTTGGGTAGATTGTCTTGCTGGTGGGGAATGGATCTTAAATTACATCATTTGCACTTATTGATGGCACCTCCTAAAACAAGAAATTTTAATGATTCTTCTAAGAGGCCTTATTATTCTATTTTTCTCATTTTCTTGACAAAAACACTCATTAAAACTTGAAGCACTTTTTCTAAAACTCATCTTTTCTTGCTTTTCTATCCAAAGTACTAATCTGTGCCATTAGAATAAGAACCTCCATAAATATTACTATCTGCAAAAACAATTGACTGAAGTATAATCTTTAACTTTTGTACAACACATAATTTGAACAGATGCATTTAGATTTTATCAACAAAATTATTGCCATGTGATGTATCATTTCTGATGTTTATACAAAGTCATAGTGCAGGAAGATAACTGTATTAGTGTATTCCCTGTAGTTTAAAAGAAAAATATATCTTCAAGCCAGGATTCTTAAATTCTAAGCCCAATATCACATTTTCACATTAAAAATCTAATTTTTTTAAGTACTCGTGTATAAAAATCTATAAACTTGAAAATTACTAAATATTGCCCTCAGATAAACTTTATCTTTAATAAGCTACAAAGAGATCTATTTATATGGCTTTTGAAAACTTCATTTAACAACTGGGTGTCAGTAATAACTTATTTTAAACATGTTTCAAATATTTGTCTCATATGTAAAAACCATTTAGAAAATAATTTATAGGGTTAGGTGATTCTTCTTTTAATGTCAAAAAAAAAAAAAAAAACCTGCATGGAAACCTAGTGCACTTAACAAGCCAATTACACTTTACTGAATAATATTAACCTATACCAATTTTAAGTTGTGAAGAGAATGGGGATGTTTTTCAGCAGAACTGTCTTGCTATCGTATTTTCTTTTTAATATGACCACTTTGTAACTGAATTCTCAGGATTAAGGATAAAGCATAAAACATAATTGTATTTTCAGATACAGCAATTCAGATATTAATTCACATGCATGCAATTCAAGTGGAAAATGTTTTGTTTGTGAACAAATCATAATACACATTCTGTCATTTGCATGATGGGAATCTGCGGCATCTTTTTCCTTGGAAACACTCAAAAGAAAATCCTGGATCAGAACAATCTGCAGTTTCAGATAATGGAGGCTTTTAAGATGTTTTTAGAAGGATGTGCTAATTTTGTTATATAAAAATATTTGTAACTTTTACTCCATACTGACAAGGTTCTCAATAAAGTACCTATTTTAACTTGAACTGCCAATGTCTTTTCTTTGAATAATCTGAATAATACATGACTTTTTATAAGGGTTTTTTTTTTTTTTTAAGATTTATTTATGCATACAGAACTGGGATACAGGCCAGAGGAGCAGGGACAGTGAGGATTCACCAGAGTGGGGAGAATAGGTAGATCAACAAACCACACTGCTGAGGGGAGCAGCAGGGAGACAGGAGAGGTCTGCTGCGTCACATGGGTCACCTCCCTTGCAGAGGCTTGAACTCATGCAACAGTGGCTTGCCATAGCTTCACAGTGCTGCACTTTTAACCCACTGCGCCACTAGGGAGGACCCTGTAAGAGAGTTTATTAAAAAAAAAAAAAAATTCAGTGTTTTCTTAAAGAAGTCTCCTGAGATTATGGTACCTTGCCATAGTATGCTCTTAGTACACACTAATGACTCAAAATTAATGGGCTTTTTCATATATTTAATCATTCTTAGTGTGCACTGCTAGGAAGATAATGCAATTTAATTAAAAGCTACCCTTTTATGATCATCTTCAACGTGGATTCCATTCCTGGTCAGTTTTTTTAATGTAAAGTATGCTTAGGGTTTTAATAATGATTAACATCATTAAGGTCCTAAAGGCATGAAAATGTATAAAAGTATTGTTTTATATGTAGAACACACCTTTTAGTGTTTGCCCCTCTCATATTTCCTATGACATAATTGACTTTAAAACATTTGACTATATAGTCAAATAATGAATAAATGCTGAAAACACAGATCAGGATCAGAAATATCACTTTTTCAGGAAAAGGCTATAAAATTTGAAACTAGTATGATAAGAGTTTGAAGTAATTACACAGAAAATATTCATTCTTTAGAACCTGTTTTTTGCAGATTTTACAAATAGAACTAAATTTTCAAAATTTCACTGTAATTATTTCTAGGGCAAAATTTTTGGTTGAGGATTAATATAAGTTGATTTTCAGCAATGATCAAACATTCTCTAAACTACTCCATTTACTGGATTATTCCCTTAATTTATTACATAAGGTTAATCACATTAATGGGTTGACTCAAAAAGTTTAATTTCAACTACTATATTTTTCACACAAGTGAAATTTCAAGCCTTAAATTTTCTAAATTAAACCATAATTACTCTAAAAAAGTATCCATACAAAATTTGATTTATAAATTAAATACATCCAAACTATTCTAAGTTAATTCACATATTCTTATAGCAGTCCTCCCTTTAGCTAAGGAAATATTCTCATTTTGAACATGCTGAAGCAATCATAGGTTGACTTTCAACTTATCAAAGGCTCCAAGTTGTAGATAAAATGTCTAATTTTCTCAACTTTATAGGCAGTGAAAGGCTGTGTAAACAAGTACTTATTGAGCATTAAGCTTTGAACACCAAACACATGACAGTGGAAACAAATATGGTCCCTATCATAATGTTTCTACTTTGTGAAAGACAGATAATAAACATGTATTTGTGATCAAGATAATATATGGCTCGGAAAACAGTATGTAACCAGAAGCCTGAACTTAATGGTGTCGGGAAAACTTCCATAAGGAAGCCATGTTTCAGAAAGCCCTAAATGATAATAAAAGAACTATTTATATCAAATGAATAGTACAAGCAGAGGCTACAGTGATGATAAAAAAAAAAAAGAGAGCACATTTAAGGAATTGAAAGAACCTCATTGTCAAAATTTTTAAGCAATGCAAAATGTAGTAATATATAGATGTGGGCAGATCAGCAGAATCTTGGTAAATGTTAAGGATTGGGACTTTTTCTAAAAACAATGAGTCTTTTAAGAGTTTTAGACTCAACTATAAGAAAATTAACATATTTTTTAAACGAGCTGAAGCTATGAACACCCAAGTAAGTATATGAAAAAATGTCTCACATCCTATGTCAAGGAACTAGAAGTACTATACCCTATTAGAATAGCCAACACCCAGAATGCTGATAACACCAGATGCTGGGAGGGTTGTAGAGCAACAGAAACTCTTACTCATTGCTAGTGGAACCTCAAAATGGTATAGCTGCTTTGGGCGATAGGTTGGCAGTTTCTTACAGAACTAAACATACTCTTACTATATTGTACAGCAATTGTGTTTCTTGGCATTTACTGAACTGAAAACATACCAACACAAAAACCAGCAAACAGATGTTTAAAGTGCTTTATTCAAAATTGTCAAACCTTGAAAGCAACTAAGATGTCCTTCAACAGGTAAAAGGATCAATAAACTGGTACATTCAGACAACAGAATACTATTAACATTAAAAAGTGTTACCAAAGTCGTGAAAACACAGAGAGGGACATAAAATGTATAGAAAATTAAAGAGTCAGTATAAAAAGGCTACATATTGTAAGAGTCCAACTATACAATTTTCTGGAAAGGACAAATCTACAGAGACAATGAAAAAAACAGTGGTTGCCAGTTTATAGAGAAGAGGGATGAAAAGAAGACTTTCAGGACAGTGATAATGTTCTGTATACTATCATTATTGATACATATCATTATACCTTTACCCACACCCACAGAGTATGTAATCTAGAACCTCATTCTCCAGACTTTGGGTTATCATGATAGGTCAATGTAGGTCCATCATTTGAAACAAATCTAACTCTGATGTGAGACGTTGACAGCAGGCTATGTGTACATGGATGCAGTGGGAACTGTGCTTTCTGTTCAATTGTGTTCTAAACCTAAAACTGCTTTAAGAAATTAAATGTTTTTTAAAATACTTAGGAAGGAAATTTGTTGTCAGATGTACATTTTTAATCTCTTTGGTTGTAGTGACTAACCATGGAGATAAAGAAGAAAAAAAGGTATAGAACAACACTTAATTGCACTGATCTAATGAGAGATGGTATTAGTCTAGTCTAGAATGGTATCAAAGACATTGAAAAGATGATCTGGCTACAAAGAGAAATAAGATTCAAATATGCATCCTTAGATAAATAAATGAACAGCTTATCCGGTGTGATCACTGATTCCCGACACAAGCTGTGGGGCTCAAGTCTTGCCTTATTTTGTTCTTTCTCATTGACTGAAACTCAGTGGTGTGAAAGATGAGTGCACAAGTGAGATCAAGATCTAAAGGAAAAGATCGTCGTAGAGTCTCCTGCAGCGGCATCTGCTGTTGCCTCTCCCTCCAGTGAGCAGGTAGAAGAGCTCAGCAAGGGAAGCCTGCAGTTGTGATGCCAAATATTAAAACCCCAAGAAGAGAAAAAAAGAGCAACTGCTGTGCAAGGTGATCTGGGTCCTGGCATGGAAGGTGATGGCCAGAATGTGGATCTGAAGAAGACCGAGGGGGATAGAAGAAGACCCAAGAGGAGCTGAAGGAGTCTGAGGAGGAGATGAAGAACACTGGAAAGGATTGCAGAGATGGTAATGGTATGAAAGAGGAGATTCCATTTAATCAAAAACCTGAAGTTTCAGGAACAGGTGAAGATCAGTAAAAGTTGAAAAGAGGACTAGCTGAAGCAACCAATGTTGTTGTTAATATTGATAAACTGACGTCTCATTATCTCAATAAAATTCTGCAGCATAAAAAAAAAAATGAACAGCTTACACTTAGTGCTCTTACATAAAAAAGGTAAGATCTTTATCCCATATCCTAATCTCCCAGTCAAGAGCTTAAAAAAAAAATTAACATAAGTAAGCTTTTAAATTAAGGACAATGGCAAATATGTCAGATAATTTTAGTCTATAGTTAAAAGTTCACTGGTCAGCTAATTCTGGAAAAAGAGTATGTCTGTGCTTAACAAAAGTGCAATCACAGAATAATACATTGTAATAAGACAATGTATAAATCTAGAAAATCTTGGTAAAGCAGGTAATTATTTGCCTAAACCACAAAAACTTACCGCTTGTGACAATATTTTCCATTACTAAAGCTTGCATTCTTGTAATTAAGACACTTATTTAAGGATACCACATAATTATAACATGAATTCATACATTATTTTGATGTTTTATACTTTATGCAGAATTGAATAATTACTAAAATTTTGAAAAACAGATATTATGGCTATAATAAACCAAAACCCTGTTACCTGTAGAAACTCTGGCTACTCCATTATTTATGTCTCCAACTGTAATGTTATTTTCTTTCTCAATATTTCAACAAGCAGTAGGTTTAGTATTGAATATACCACTTGACTGCCATTAAAGAATAATCAGATCCTTTCAAACTAGGTATCTGTCATTTACCAAAGTGATAGATTCTTACTTAGAGGAAAATTGCTGGCCATTTATATGACTATTAAGAACTAACATTAACATTAGACTTATAAATTATAATTTCATCTTTTGCAGACTGAGGAAAGAGATTAACAATCTTATCCACATCAACATGCTTGTTTTGAAGGACTGATTCCATCTCTTTGAATAGTTCTTTCTCCAATTTCTTCATGTTGTCCAGAATTATTTTGCCTTTTTCCTGAACAATTAAAAAAAAAAAATCAACACACATACACACAGATCTAAATGAAATTTTAATGCCTTCCAAAGGCAAAATGTGTTCCTGGATTTCTATTTTAAGTTTTGTTCCCTTCCTCCTGATCTTTAGTTATACAATGAAATTCTTTGGGAAAAATCATTGTCCTTCACCACCACTGACTTGGCAGCTACAAAATCAGTTCTCCAGACTTAGAGAAGCCCAGAAAGTCCAAACATCTAAAGCCATACCACCACCTGCTTGAAAAGCAGAAGTACTTCAAAAATCACTAATTTACTGCTACACAGACAAAAAAAAAAAAATCCTGCACTCAAGAGTTCAAGCTACACTAGACCACTATCCCATACGCCACACAAAAATTAACACAAAATGAGGTCTCCCTGGTGGCACAAGGTGTTAAGTGTCAGCATTATCAAGCTATCAGCAGCCACTGCAACAAGAGTTCAATCCCTGGCTAGGGAGCTGATCCACGTGGCACAGCAGACCTCTCCTGTCTCACCTGTTGCTCCCCTCAGCAGTGTTTTTTTTTTTTTTAAGATTTATTTATGCATACAAGAACTGGAGTACAGGCCAGAGATACGAGGGGTAAGAGGATTTACCAGAGACAAGTGGGGAACAGAACAGGCAGACTGAAGTACACTGCTGAGGGGAGCAGTGAGTGAGAAAGGAGAAGTCTGCTGTGCCATGTGGGTCACCTCCCTGGCTAGCCAGGGATCAAACTTGTGCTGAAGTGGTAGTAGACAACTTCATAGTGCTGTGCTTTAACCCACTGTTCCACCAGAGAGAGCCTTCAACAGTGTATTTCAGTAGAAACCCATCTCCCAAAAAGCAGTATTGAGAGGAATTAAAGCGCTTACAACTCTTGCCAAGTATGTAAGCAATTAGGGTAGTGTGGAGGCCGTCTGGGGAGGAGCAAAGGAAAATTCCTCCTAACAGACACTTGAAACTTATACTGAGGAACTTAGAAAAGGCAAGAAGAACCAGAAGCTCACTTTCACAGAGCTGAACTGAGTGTGGAGCATAAGCCAACGCCATGGTCTGATGCCATCTCTGGCCCCATGGGTTGGGCCCTAGTCAGCACAGTTAGAAGAAAATATTGACCTCTCACTCCATGTGACCAGGCTATATAAAAAAGGTGTTTACAGTGTAGATCAGAAGTGAAAAAAAAAAAAAAGGCCCCAATGAGGGATGAGTAATATGAAGAATTCATAGTAAAAATAAGTTTGGACAGAGCTTTATTATTTATGTGTAAGACTGACAGTGAGGGGAAGCAAGACAATTGTGCAAACATACTACAGATACAGGTAATATATGCATGTAGGAACATTAATATAAAGATAATTTAAAAATATATGCCTTGATGAAGTAAAATTACAGGCAATAAAGGTGAGATATTTAAATATTCAAAACTCCCAGTTGGCAAACTTTAGATCCTACTGCATGTGAATTATATCTCAATAAAGATATTTTAATTTTTTTTTTTTTAAATCAGGAACTGGTAGAAAAAGGTGAGTAAATGTATTAACTAGCCTTCTGTTTTCTTCACTTCAGGAATAAACTGAAAATTCTGTGGCAAAAGCCTTTTTATAGCCCTTCTATTTCCTTCTAATCTATTTTTTTAATCTGGGTGCATGAAGAGCAAAGCGAAAACTTCAAAGTATGAATACTACAAAATTACTTATTGACCCATCTACTAGACATTTGCCATAAAAATACATCTACTGGTTTCTGGCGATGAGATTTGGGGTATGCTTAGCTTACATTTTAAAAAAGTAAGTATCAGTTATTTTAAATTAATCTGAGACTGTATGATTAAAAACATGTGAGAGAACAGGTTAAATGCCCTTTAGTGAATTTGCAATTTTTTGGTGCAGTAAAATACTTAAACTTGGATTTTATCAAAAATGAGGGTAATAGGGCCCTACCTGGTGGTTCACTGGGTTAAAGCACATTAATACGAAGCTATCCACAGCCACTTCAGCATGAGTTCAATCCCCGGCCTGGACAGGGAATTGACCCACCTGGTGCAGCAGACCTCTTCTGTCTTGCCCACTGCTCCCGTCAGCAGTGTACTTCATCAATCTGCCTATTCTGTTCTCATCTCTGTCTCTGGTGAATTCTCTCACTGGCCCTGCACCTTTGGCCTATACCCCAGTTCAGTATGCATAAATAAATAATTCTTAAAAAAAAAAAAAGAGGGTAATAATAGTACTTATCTCATGAAGTAACTGTGAAGATGAAATAAAATATTCCATGTAACATTACCATGGTGCTTGGTGTAGAAGAGTCCTCAATAAATGCTTGTTGTTATTATGTTTAAAATACTAAATTTCTCTTAAAAATTCACTGTACATTTTTAGCCATTCTTGTTAATGAAAGGTTAAAAATACAGTTCTACTACAGCCTGAGCATCTAAACTTTAAAATCTATTTTTACATGAAGGAAATAGAAAACTGAAATTTCAATGTTCAAAGTATGAATTCAATCACATTTTAAACTATAATTAATCATAAAACAAAGACTATAATCATACCTCATTACCATCTATTACTTCCAATGCCTGTTGATGTATTTGGTAGAGTGGGTGTCTTCTGTCAGGCTTATTCTTAAAATGTGGCTTCTTTTTAACTGGCTCATCAAGTTCAAGTATTGGTGAAGTGGTATCCAATAGTTGTGAAATATTTGGCACAAATATGAAAGGCTTAAAAACAGATCTAAAAGAAAAAGAGTTTATTAAATTAGCTGATTGGGATATTAAAAATATTTGGTATTATTTGAAATTTTTTGATTCCCTCTATAGTTAGAAATTTCGATTAATTCATTGTATTATCAATCAAACTAGTTATACCCATACCTGCGATCTATCCCTGGTACACTGAGATCTCTCTTTGAGGCAGGAATCCATGGTTTATTTAACTTTATAGTCCCATAACTGAACAAAGGGCCTAGTGCCTATGAATAGAGCAGGCTCCGTTTTTGTATCTCTAAGTTATATATACAAGTTGTATATAAAAGTTTTTGGCAATTTAGCATGACAATATCAGCAGACTAATGACTCTATCCTACTCCCAACTCCTTGCTATTTATTTATTTTGTGACTTTACCTTTCAGGATCAGGAGTCCCTGTAAAGAAGTGAATGCAAGGGAGGTTGGAATCTTGAGGTAATATAGAAACCATGCTTGCAGTGGTGAGGAATTCTCCCTCCATATTAATCCCACTTGGTTTATCACGGAGAATTTCCATCATTGTTTCAAAAGTTATATTTCCTAGGCAAACAATTTTAAAAACCATAATATTGGTATCCTGTAAATACGAACTTCTTTCTCTACTGATTCTATAGAACATATTGATCTAGGCATTTATCGTAACTGTACTTGAACTCATTCCACTGATACAAGGAAGATTTTTTTAATACAAAGTAGTCTCAAAACCATTAAAACAAGTAGAATCTGTGTAACACCCAAAGAAGGAATCAATAATGCAAAAGTATACTCAATCCCACTACCATTACAAAAATTTTAAGATGTATTTAGTTAGCAATAACTGACACCACTAATAACTATTACCTATCTACTCTGAGAACCAAACAGTCAAAAAAAGTCTGCTTTTGTTTTCAGTACTATATAGACAGATATTCCTTGTAAAGTAACAATTATTTTTCCTGTAACAATTTCTGTGCTTGAAATTAATACTCTTCCATTTAAGAATGAATTATAACCTGAGTGGGAATGAAGAAAACAAAATACATTATCAGTATAGATGAGTAATTCTGCAGGACTACTTTCAAAGTCATCTTTCTCTCTCTCCCTCTCTTAAAATAACTTATTGTACACACTATTTTCAGACCTCAGTTGATCACAGTAACCAGTGAAACCAAATCAGGTAAGGAATGACTAAAGAAATATGTTTTCCATTTATTAAATACATCAGTCTCTTTTTACCCTGAAGTAGTATCAATTTCTTTACACTGGTAATGAACACAATGGGCATACATTGTAATTTAGGTTTTTTTTTTTTTAACACTATGTAATTCTTGCCATCAGATATCCTCAGAAAATTTATATGGAAATTCTAATTTATTATATTGAAATTAGTTCAAATTAAACAAATAATTTCATTTAACACAGTGAGCCACAGTATTAGATTCCTCTCGTCCAAAGCCCTACCACAAAGACAGTGGAATGATGAAAAATTAGGTAACTCAGAGACAGAGAACTTGTAAGAATTTCCCCCAGTTTCATCATATATGAGAATAAAAGAAAAACAGTTTACAGCAAGAGTGTACCCTAACTGTAGTTTTGTGACATTTCAAATTAAAATAAAATTGGCATTCAGATAAAACAATCTATGTTCTCACCCTCGATTAATCATGCAAGCTACCGATATGATAGCAGCAAATTGTCAGTTTCTCCATAGTGTAGCTATGACTACAAATTCAAGAAAAATTATAGATAACTTGTTACAGAAGCTATCTTTTTGTGTTAATTTTGATAAAATGCAGAAGAAGAAAAAAAGATATACCTAAAAACAACTCTTAATAAACTAAACAATAAAGCAAAAGCATACAGCCCACACCTATCTATTGGGCATAGCTTTAGTAACTAGTGAGATTTTAAAATGACTCAAAACTAAATTCCTATAAATGGTAAGTTTTAATGAAAACAGTGTCGGAACCATAACACTGTGATAATACATGTATTATGAAAATGTTTTCTGTATTCCAAACCTGTAATTCTCAAAATGAAAGAAGGATTTACATGATCACTTGAGTAGGACATATATAAGTAATCCACTAGCAAGCACTGAGTAAGTACTGAGACTGCAGTGGCAGGGTTCACTAAAATGAATGCAAAACACAGGGTGCGATTTCATTGCAATTTAAACTAGTTATTTAAAATACATGAGTGAATATAGATACAATTTGGATATACATGCAGCATAGTTAATAGCTATCAGACAGGGATAGTTGGAAAGGAGAGAGGTAGGCTCTTTCATCTAGAAAAATCACAGGAAAAAATTAACCGTAATATACTAGTAGACAATTTTCTATGAAAGTATTAGAGATACATTTATTCTTTCAGCAAAGAACAGAAAGCTGGATAAACTGTACTTCACATTTGAGGAAAAATATTTCATGTCAGATGCACCTAAAACTACAATCAGTATGCATTTCAACTCTATGATTTAGCTATTTTGTTGTTAAATGTAACAGAATTTTCATTCAGTAGATAATTTACAATTTTTATGTTTTTCTTCCTTTTTTCTAATTATTTTAAACCTTAGGATCCTTTATATTTTCCCCTCCACTTTATACATGTAGTAGTGTTCTTTTTTTTTTTTGTAGTAGTGTTCTTTTTAATGAATAATTATGTCCTCCATTTTTAAACTTATTGCCAGAAAAAAGTATATAATAATGCACTTTGTTAAACTTATCTTCAGGGGCCTTCAAGCGGCCTTAGGGGTAAGTCTAAGCACTATCACTGATAAGGCCTAAGTTCAATCTCAAGCCGGGTAGCTAACCCACATTGTATGGTGCAGCAGACCTCTTCTGTCTGCCCACTGCTCCCCTTAACAGTGTGTTTCAATTTGTCTGTTCTGTTCTGCTCTCTTCTCTGTCTCTGGTGAATCCTCTCAACAACCCCACCCCCCGAACCTCTGGTCTACAACTCAAGTTTTCCTACATATCAGAAAAAAAAAAAAAGAATGCTCATGCAAATTAAATGTCTTCAGTGGCAATCACATGTAGATTCATTATAGCAGACTTCAATTTGGATGAGAAGTTTGTGCAAAATTTGAATATTTATCATATCAAATATTCTTATAAGGGTGTATAGATAGATATGCCTGTGTTAACTGGCTCTAAACCAATGTTTGTTTCTCAGCACAGGTAGCCCCACCTGAGTCTAAAATATATGTAGCTCAATCTCTCACAAGAAACTCAATTAACCTAAACTGAGACAGCAGAGAGGGGGGGCATAGTAGCATTTTTTGAATTTATAATCTTAGTAAAGAGTTCAGTTCTTGGCCCTCCCTGGTAGCACAATGGGTTAAAGCTCACCATAACTGTTTCGGTGCTAGTTTGATCCCTAGTCAGGGAGCTGACCCACACACTGTGGCAGAACTCTCCTGACCCACCCACTGCTCCCCTCAGCAGTGTACTTTGTCAATCTGCTGTTCTGTTCCTCACTCTGCCTCTGGTGAATCCTCATACCTGTCCTATACCTCTGGCCTATAATATCCCAGCTCTGTAAACATAAATAAATCTTTAAAAAAAAAAAAAAGAGTTCAGTTCTTCCTCTTCAAATGTATCTTTCTACCTAAATATCTACATCCTTATGGATGTTAAAACTAGCCTCTAGGACTTATATGTGATCAAGAGTCCCCCTCTGACAGAGAGGAGTACTGTTAGGGGAGGAAAGACCTTAAATCGTCTTAACAGACATGGGTTACTTCCCTTTTTGTATGGTGATTTTTTTCTTCTAGAATTTGAACCTAATTACATGTCTCTAATGTTTAAATATTTTAGTCAACATTTCTAGAGAGCTGTAGTAAAAACACGGGATACCTATACAGGCCCAGTTTATCTTCCCAACCAGTACTACATAAAATTTTTGAAGTAAGAAAACAAACAAAAGTACTAACAAAAGATAAATTTAAGAAGCATCTGTAACAGTCAAAGATGTGATTTCCATGTTCCAATGAATTCTGAGGAGAAAACAAATTCCATTTGGGTTTTAAAATATTAGTAAAGATTGTAAATCTGACCTGCAGAAAGAATTATTACCCTCTTACAGCTATAGAGCTCTTCACTCATCTCCAAAAATAGCTTACAATGTCACAATAAGTCAGTTTTAATAAAACTGTATCTTAGTAAGAATAATTCCTTGAAAAACAGTTATCATACCCACATTCTATCTAGTGAGCATATAATCTTTTATTCTGATATTATTTAAATGATAAAATTACCTTTGTGTTTGTTTAGAAGCTTATAGCCTTCACAGAATCTGCCTGGTGAAACCATCATTTTGGCTGTGTCAACATAAGAGTAAGTGGCTGCAAAATCAAACTCCTTTTTGCCATCCCACCAACCTTTCTGTTTAGCATAGTTTCTCATGTCTGGATGTTCCCGATCAATTTTGGTTGTTATGGAAAGCTGATTAGAAATATTACGAACTCCCTCTGTTTTCAAAGAGAAGAAAAGTTGGTTTTTAATCACTATTTGCAATATACAATTCTAAATTTTGTACCATGTGGAATCTATTACATACTCAAGAAGATAAATTTTTAAAGAACTTTTTAAATTTAAGGTAATTATAGATTATCTACAAGTGATAAAGAGATCCTATGTATTCTTTATCCAGTTTCCCCCCAATGGTAATGCCTTGTAAAATATCACAAGCAAATACTGACACTGAGATGTATTTCCATCACTACTAAGATCATTTATGTTGTCCTTTTTAGAGTCATGCCCACTTCTTCCCTTCTCCCCACTTAACCCCAAGGAACCACTAGTCTGTTGTTTATTTCTACAACTATCATTTCAAGAATATTACATAAATGGAATCATACATCTCCTTCTGACATCATCATTCAGTATAATTCTCTAAATGTTCATTCAGGCAATTGTATGTATCAGCAATTCATTCTTTTTTACTGCTGAGTAGTATTACATGGTATAGATGACTACAGTTTGTTTAACCATTTAAGTTAAAGGCTATTTGGGTTGTTACCAGGCTTTGGTTATCATGGCAAAAGCTGCTATAAATATTCATGTACTGTTTTTTGTGTTAATGTAAGTTTTTAGTTATCTAGGATAAACAAACAAGATTTCAATTATGCAGTTGTGTGTTTAGCTTTTTGTAAGACTGCCAAACTGTTATCCAGAGTGACAGTAAATTCTCATTAGCAATGTATCAGTGACCCAGTCTCCACATTCTTATTAGCATTTGGCGGTGTCATTTTTATTTTAACCATTCTCATAACAGTATATTGATAATTCACTGTGGTTTTAATGCATTTCCCTAACAGTTAATGCTGCTGAACATCATTTCATGTGATTTTTTGACAACTGATGTTCCTTTGAATGATATGTTGCTACATTTCCTATGCCCATTTTTCTAACTGGATTTTTTTTAACTGTTGAGTTTTAACGATTATTTCAGTCCTGTATATATTACTTTTAAAAACAGACATGTATCAGTATAGAACACAAATATAAAGCTTCTCTAAAATACCAATAGTTATCAATATTTTCAACTAAAATATAAAAATAAGGGAAGGAAAGTCTTTTCTAAAGAATTCATAATAAAGGAACCAATCATGTTAAATGAAAATTGATAATGCTTTAAAGCAGACTTAGGATGACAGTCTACCAAAGAGAAGTCAATTAAATTACCTTAATAAAGTCACACTTGAGATGTTCTTACTACAAAAACTACACTTACATAATATAGAATTAAAGACAGTGAGGAGGGATTTTCTATCTATTGTGTAATTGACTAATAGGAAAAGAAATAACTGGATAGCTAATCTACAACTCGATAATTAAACCCAACGAAGGTGTTCACTTATACAAAAGTTTTTTTTCTACAATAAGATAATTTTTGTATTTCTAAAGTAAGAAATTTCATTACCTTTTATATTACTACTAGTCCCAGAAGGACTTTTTAGATTTTAGAAATGACATTCTAACCCTGAGTTTTTTTTTAAGGTGTTCATTTCGTATAGTTAGATGAAGCTATCTTTTCAATAGAAGAATATCTTTGCTTCTCTCTTCAAAGTGGTACATTTAATAAAATAAAAAATACTTTTTAGTCAGGTCACTTGTCACAATAATTGAAAAAGAAGCCTAGATAGCTTTAATTCAGCTTTATGTATTAAAAAACATGCATGCAAAATATAGCATGTCCGTAAGAACTGGCAGTGACCTATTCTGGGAAAAAAAATACAAATCCTCCAAAGTTCAAGGATATCTTCAAAAGCCCTTCTAAAATTCAGCTCACAATAACTTTTCTTTCCTCTAAATGTTCACAGTGTCTATGTTATCTGTATCATTCACACACTAATATTTTCACATGTGTATCTTATCTCCAGGTGATTCACAAAGCCATGTACAATAAGAACATGATCATGATTAACCACAAAGCTGTACCCTAATGAAAACAATGAACTGAAAGTCAGGATAGAAAAATTTTAAATTCTAAGTCTTTCACTCAATTTACTTTAAGTAAATCATGTCACACCTCTGGGTTTCCTCACTTGAACACAGAGGAATTATATGATCACAAAGCAACCGTGAAAAAAAAGTAAATACAAAACATTTCAATAATGTATATTCTATTATTTTACTCAATGATAGCAAACTTTCTATCAAATTTGACTGCATCAACATATTCTTTCTAACCACTAGCCCACAAACCATACACTTTTCCTCAATTCCATACCTACATATGATAAACTTTAAGCATTCAGCCCAAAGTTAAAAGAGGAAGAAGCAGTACGGAGTTATTAAAATGTAAAAAAAGTACTATAAAACAGTGAAAAGTTGCTGTACAGAAAATAGTTTATTCATGTTCATATATACCAAATAGATGCCACTTTTTTCTTTTTCAAGAGTGCTTTATAGAGCTCTTTCACTATGTATGTTCATTGATGTTTTCATTTTCCCTTCATATGAGGTTTCCCTGGATAATAAATCTTGGGAAAACATTAAATGCAATGTCTACAATTAAGAAGGTATTTTATTCACTACAATTAAGAAGGTATTGTATTCATTATAAAACAAATTGAATTGTGAAAAGTTGCCCATACCTTGTATTTTTTCTGCCGCCCAGTACTTTCCTGCAGTCTCCAGAATCCAGGCTTCATGCCTATCAGCTATCAGGAAACTGTTGTGATAGCTAAATAGCAATGTACCTTCTGCACAATTTCCACCCTGGCCATATTTTTCTAATAAGTCAACAATGACATTCAGGGCTTTTTCTGCTGTATCAGCTCTTTCAAGTCCGAGTCTAAAATAAAAATGTTAAATGTCCTCAAATTAAATTTTCATTATTTTCTTAAATAATGTCATGTACATGAAATGTTATGACTATATTCACAGTTTAAAAAGAAAACTTCAACCTAACAAATAAATTGTAACCCAATTACTCTTCTGAAATCAGTTTGGAATCATGAAAACAAAGTTTTAGAATCAAATAAATCCACGTTCACATTCCTAATGGTAAATTATTACCATGTTATTTATTTCTGTACCTCAGCTATCTCAAGTGGTGAGTATAAAAATATCTATAGTATGAGGTTACTGTGAGAATTGGTTAAGGTATGGTAAAATATGTTAAGACTTCCAATGAAAAATTTTCAACTACTTTTCCTTTTCCCAATTAATAAAACTTGAGTCTTAAAAAAGGGATGGTTTTAGTTTTACACAAGCTATAGTATATCAAAGTCCAAAAATAAAAAAAGGGAAAGTTTTTAAAACATGTTATATCACAATCCAAAACTTAGACAAGTTCTGTAGTGTAAAATTACCTGACAAGGTCCATGCCCAGTAGTGCCTCTTCATCACAAACTTCCTCTCTTCCCCACACAGCTTCATTTCCAATGCAAACTCCATGTTCATTGGCTCCCATTTCTGCCCCCCACAACCAAGCTGGGCGACTAAGGACAATAGCATATGTTTCAGGAACTTGATCAATTTCTATGTAAGTACACTGTAAGAAAGCCATAGCAAAAACAATGAAGCTAAAAAAGAAAAGTCGTCAAAGTCTAGAATCTTAAAAATCAATCAGAAGACATGACCATTATGAGAGGTTAATGAAATATAAATTGAAATTTTCAATAATTCAAACAGATTCAGAATTTATTCATTCTGAAGATTTATTCAACATTTGATTAAGAAATGAATCAGACTAGATCTTGCTTTCAAGAAACTAGAACATGTACATCAACTAATATATGACAAAATACAAAGTTTAAGGGCCATGAAGAGAAGTGAAAATGAGGTGGCAATGAACGCTCAGAAGAGAGATGGTTTCTAATTTAACAATCATTATTGTTATTTCAGCTTCCTCCAAATCATTGATAGTCTAGAAGTTCAGTTTTGACTCAAATTAATTTTCTAATTTAAAGTATTGAATTTCTACCTTCTATAGCTTCTGCCAAATAACTAGCTAATGATAAAAATAACTCTTCATCTCTTCGTGATATATATATATACATATATATATATGTGTGTGTGTGTGTGGCTAGTAAGACATGTATTTCACCTACCTTAAGATGTTCTCTAGAGTTATCATGAACTGCGGCAGGAAAATACACTATTTCTTGTACTTCATCGAAGAGTCTATCAGAATTCTTCCCAAAAATAATCCTATTATCAACTGTCGCTGGAGGCACTGCCACAAAAGTGTCACAGGAACGAGGCTCCATTTTTTTAAAGCTAAAAATCACCCGAAGATTCAAAATAAAAAGAGGAAAACATTTTTAAGCACATACAAAACCAGGTTTTAACTGCTGCGGTATTCTGCTAAAGTCTTCGCTGAATCTCCTCTTACTATTTCCCTATCTGGGGATTCCTGTGCATTTCTTACTATTGTAAAGATCATATTTTCCATATTCAAATACATATATGAATATTTTACTAGACAGTGAGATCATTAAGTGTTGGGAATAAGTCTTTGTATTCTCATCTCTGGAACTCATCTTACAGGTAAGTCCCAATATTATGTATTCAGTGTTCTTAGAGGTGGCGAACACACGGAGACTGTAATATCAGTACGTCTGAAATTCTGAAGTAGTCACTCAAGACAAATACAGGAAATGTTAATAAAATTCCAAACTGTTGATTTCCAGGAGGAAGTTTCAGAACATAACTTGTAAATCCTTATGGTAAATTAAATACCAAATTTAAACTTCATTTGTAATTTGGAAAACTTTAAATTTTAAGATTCAATTTTAGTAGAGCACTACAGTGTCGCAAACTTTTCCTCTTGCTTCAGAAGTCACTGTTCTATATAATTTCCTTTATTTTATAAAGCCCTAGACTTTGGAATATTTTTACACAGGCTAAATAAAGACTAGTTATCAAAAAAAAAAAAAACATTTTATATCTAGTAAACGCACTGTCAAAAAAAATACCAAGAAAAAAACAACTTTTGTGAAACTCCAAAAAGTTTTCCTTTTCCTCAGTGATGGAAAGAGGGGTCAAAACTGTATTTGTTTTTTTCTGTGTCCTGGAGCCCAGGTTTGTTCCAGCATTCCTAACGCTGGCAGGCTACCCTTCCTGCCTCATGGATATCTCAGGGAGTTATTATAAGAAAAAGCCACTAGCTCAGGCGTTGTCCCGGTTCATTTCACTAAAATGCAAATATAGTTACTTGACAAAAGAGTCCATCTCTCACAAAAGACACATGCTTGACATCACACGCGGCAAGACGACTCGGTTGGCGGATCCTTACACAAGCAGCAGCCACACTAACTAGGTCATCAGTCCTGATGGGTCCGAGAGGACGCTCAGGAAACACGTGGCTTAGTTAGCAAGTCCTCTAGCCCAGGAGGAGACACCCTCAGAGCCTTTGCTAACTTTACTCAACAAACTTGTGTTGAGCGTTTTTCTGAGCCAGGCGCCGTCCACGAGTCTCCGCTCACGTGGCGTGCCTCCTGCACGCTTCCTTTCACTAAAGCGCTTTCGGAAACACAGCTTGGTCTCATCCTCACAAGCATGAGTTTCTATTTTCACAAAACAAGTGGGAAAATCGGGGCAGAAACACGTTATGTAACTCCAGTTAAGAGTTCACAGACAGTAAAAAGACTCGAATTTCTTGCAGATACGCCGTGGTCACCCCGCACGCCTCACCCCAGCAACGGCGCCCCGAACGCAGCCAGAGCGGCTGCGACCCGGGCGCCTCGCACCAACAGCGCCACGGCAGTCTTTTCCATTCCGGCCTCAACTACACCCATCCCACCCCCAGGCACACCCCTCACCTGGCCACGGAGTGACTCAAAGCGAAAGCGGGTGAGGAGGGAGGCGTGACAAATATGGCGCTAGCTTCCGGAAGCTGTCACCTTTGACCCAGGAAGTTCTCGCCGTTACCGCAGGCGCAATTCCGGTTAGGCGGTAGAGTTTATTTACATTTCTCACCTACCCTGCGGCTGCCTTCCTCAGCTCAGGCTCCAAGATGGGGAAATCCTTCGCCAATTTCATGTGCAAGAAGGACTTTCATCCTGCCTCCAAATCCAATATCAAAAAAGTGAGTAAGGGGAGCCAAGGGAGGTCCTGGCCCTGGGCTCCGGGATTCCCAGGGGCTTGTTGAGGTGAGAGGAGTGGTTTCCCTAGGATGTTAGGAACTGTCGCCTCTTTTTCCAGGCCTCAAACTCCGGGGCTCTTGCCTCTCCTTCGCCCCGAGACAGTCGGTGACAAAGATGGCCCTCGAGGTTTTTTCTGTCTCATCCAAAAATCTGGCGGCTCCCTTCGGCTCTGTGCGGCGACGTAAATCTGTAATATATGAAGACCGAGAGTAGGCGTCCTTGGTATATCTCTCAGCATATTGTGATTTTTTTCTTTCTTGACCCCCAAAATTAACGACTTCTGAGCTCTACTGTTCTTGCAAAAAAGACCTCTTATTTATTTGAGGTAGATCTTAAAAGAGAAATTCACCCCGCACATCCTCTTTTTTTTACCCCATCGGATTATATGTTTTCAGTAAACACTTAAGCATCTGCTAGGTGTGGTTACAGAAAAATGCTGAATGGGATAGCAATGGAAAGTACAATAAAATAGAACGAATGGGACCTTGGGAATCAGACCTGTATTCTAGTTAGTACAGTACACTTTTAGCCCTGAGATATTGCATGAAATACCAATATTCCTGCTCCTTAATTTTCCATAATTAAGAATGATCAATATCGGTTGCCTTGACTTGTGAAATTGTTATAAGGACTGTGTAAGATGGTGTAAGTAAAGAATTCAGAACAAAATACCACTTAGCACTGTGTCCACACAAAGAGGAAGTGTTCGATAAAATGTTAATTGCCCCTACACACAAACTTACTCCTATCCTGCTCCTAAATACAGATGTTGCTCAGATTTTCATCTTTGGCTTACATCTTGCTCACTCTATGAGCTTTCCCACGCAATCACATTGGTTTCACGAGTTTAAACTACGCCTCCTCTTAATTCATGGTTATAAAATCTACAGCTCTAGATCTCTCCTCCAGCTCAAGGCACCTCAAACCAACTGTATTCTAGACAGCTTATTCTTGATGTCCTGTTGGTGTTTCACACACAACAAATCTGATACTTCTTTCATCCTAAATCTGTTCTTGTTATGCTTTCTAGCTTACATAAGTAGGAAATATGGGTAGTGACAAAATCCTTCATTCAGACACCCAAGTCAGAAATTCAAGATTCATCGCTTTCCTATCATCCTTTTATCTAGTAAGCTAATTATTTAATAACTTGAGTTATAATTCATATACAATTTACCCATTTAAAGTGTACAGTTCTTTTTAGTATAGTTACAGGTTTGTGTAGTCATCACCATAAAGCATATTCTAACCTCCCCCATAACAAAACTCCTCTGTTTGCAGTCACTCCCCATTTGTCCTTAATCATTCATTTCTCCCTTTATCTGCTGTTTCTGTAACTTTGCCCATTCTGTACATTTCATATAAATGGAACCCTGTGGTCTTTTGTGATTGCCTTTTTCACTTAGCATAATGTCTTCAAAGTTCATCTGTATTTTAGAATCATCAGTATAGCACCCCTTTTTATTATTGAGTAATTCCATTGTATATATGTTGCATGTTTTATTATTCCTTCACCAGCTGATGAATATATGACTTTCTTCTCCAAAGTAGTCTCTTTAAAGTACAACTCTTATCTCTTCCAGCTCTTTATTAAAATACTATACTGTAAATACTAAAATGCTATACAAATAACTAATCTGGTTCCAGTTTATTTTCATTTCATCATTGCTTGCTGCTGTTCTTCTTCCACAGATTTTTATACTCCAGTAATATCAAACTACTTACTTTCTATTTTATACCTTTGGCTCTTTTGCCTGAGTTCCCACTGTCAGTGGTATCTTGCCCTGTGAATATAGTTATATAATTAAAAAATGAAATAGGGCCTGGTGGCGCAGCGGGTTAAAGCACTGCACTGAGAAGCTAAAGCACTGCACTGAGAAGTTAAAGCCACTTCCGCATGAGTTCAATTCCCGCCTGCCCCGGAGGTGACCACATGGCGTGGCAGACCTCTCCTGACCCGCCCGCTGCTCCCCTCAGCAGTGTACTTCGTGGATCTGCCTGTTCTGCTCCCCACTCTGTCTCTGGTGAAGCCTCTGGCCACCCCTGAGCCTCTGGTCTGTACCCCAGTTCTATATGTACAAATAAATAAATCTTTAAAAAAAAAAAATGAAATAACTTTTAAGAACCAAAACTCCTATTCCTTCATTATATCTATCCTTTCTCCCTGCTCCCTAAAATTAATGCCTAGCTTATTCTATTTATGTACCTTTTACATGTTTCTGTTATCAAAATATCAAACCTAGCAGTTATTTATACAGTTTGTATCTTTATTATAAAATAATTTTAGCATACAAAAAAGCCAGTATGGTTTTCTGTTAGCAGATTTCTGAACAGTTTGAAGGCAAGAATATGTTTTATTACTTCTTATTCCAATCCATGATAAGTACTTTATGTATTTAAACTCTTGAGGTTTTGACACTAATAAGATAACTTCATAAAATCAAAAGATTTAGGTTGATGGCATGTATTCTTGTAGAAATAATGTTATTCATTACAGTATTGTTAATAATGTTATTCCACCAGGCAGCAATACATTAAATTTATCTGTTGGCACTCAGCCTTTTGAACTACACTGAAAATTCCAAACATGTGCCTTTTATTGCCTACCCCAGTGTAGTTTTTTTTTTCTACTGTGACTGTTTGAAGTCACTGGAAGAAGCTTTCAGGAACTAATCCTAAAAGACATTTCTGGTATGTTATGTCCCTAATGGGTTCTCCTTTCATGTCAATTTTAATCTCCGTAATGATTCTTCTTGTCACCATCTCAAATTGTGTCCTTAAGAGAACCTTCCTGTCTCGGTGTTCCTAAAATACTAGTAACTACCCCTGTTTTGCTTCTAAAATTGAATGATGATAGTCTTGTCTCACATCCTTCTACACTTGTTTGCCTCTACCCACATTCGTAATTATAATTTTTTTCAACATATTTGTTCTTGAATTCTACCTTCTTAAAACTTAGCACATTTGGAGAGAAAGTTTTGACTTGCTGTTTATGTTGAAAGGTTGCCAAACATTTTGTCCTTTTTTCTAGAAGTGAATAAAGACTCTGATACTTTTAAAACCTGTATAATACATAATTAAATATCCTGGCATAAGTTATGTGGGCCTTTTACTCAGTTAGGGTTAGGATTTGGGGGCTATAGCATAAAGACACATTATACCTGTGGTGTCAGTGTCCCTGAGCAGCTGTCGCTAGGACATCTGATGCACCTCCGCCCTATCTCTACTTCCGCTCATGTCCCTCTACCTTTTTCCTACAACTCTCCTTTCATTCCCTCTTTTTTTCCTCCCTCTTGTTCTTCATTTTCTCTTCTCTGGGTATGAGTGACACCCAGTAGGCATTATTTAACCCTACTCGTTGTGCCTTGTTCTAATGAACTTTCTCTACTGCATATATTATGTGTAGAGATGGTTGTTCTCTGAGGCAGCCCAGACACAGCGTATAGGAAGCCGTTGTACCACAGATGCTCACAGTGGTTCTCAACCCTGATTTTTTTTTTTTGCCTGAAAGTTTAGCAGATTCTTTTTTTTTTATTCTAGAATCCAAATGTGGCAGTTTGGTATCAGATATAGCTCCAGAATTGGTATTTCCACTAAAAAATACTTTCAGCAGTTTGAATAGCTGGATTTAGGATTTGTAGAAAGGCACAAATCATATTTTTCAGCTGTTATTTTGTGATCTCATCATGATCAAAATAGAGTAAATTTAAACTGCATACAGTATTTTGTATTTTATTATGAAAGAAAAACAAATTTCCTATTGAATTTTATCCAATTATTTAAAATTTTTTCCTTTACTAATTCAGGTATGGATGGCAGAACAGAAAATATCATATGATAAGAAAAAACAAGAAGAATTAATGCAACAGTATCTTAAAGAACAGGAATCATATGATAATAGGTAAGAAATTCTATGCTGTTGCTTTAGAATAACCAGCTGCATGCGAATGATACCTAACTGAATTAAATTTTAAAGAAGCTTCTTTATGTTATTTTGGGGGTGGAATTTGATTTCTGATGTAGCTAATTCCTAAGGTTCTTCCACCACAATAGCACCTGTGATCCATCACAATCCTTGGTGCTCTTCACTCTCCTGTTTTGAGTCCTTTCCTCCCCTATTTGCCTCAGGTCAATGGTCAGATTGCAAGTTTTATCTTTTTCCTGACCCTTTGCTTGGTTTCTCTGTATTCCTCTTAGAAGTGAAACCATCTGATATTTATCCTCCTTCTTCTTCTGACATATTTCACTTAGCGTAATCCTTTCTAGTACCATCTATGTCACTGCAAATGGCATGAGTAAGTTTATCTTTTGATCACTGAAGTTTTTTTTTTTTTAAGATTTATTTATTCGTACAGAACTGGGGTACAGGCCAGAAATGTGGAGGGTGAGAGGATTCACCAGAGACAGAGTGGGGAGCAGAACAGGCAGGTCTACGAAGCACACTGTTGAGGGGAGCAGCAGGCGGGTCAGGAGAGGTCTGCCACGCCATGTGGTCACCTCCGGGGCAGGCGGGGATCGAACTCATGCGGAAGTGGCTTAAGCTTCTTTGTGCTGTGCTTTAACCCGCTGCGCCACCAGGGAGGGCCTGAAGTTTTTTTTAATTGGATGCCCCAGTGATAAAATTTTCTTCACCCATGAATTATTTTTACTCATATACCTATAGATGACCACTTTTCCAACATTACTTATAACTGATATGACTCCATATATGGTTGGTGAGTAAGTCCCAAATTAAGCAAAGTTTAGAAGAACAAAATGGACACTTGTGAGTCCTTACTGGTGGCGCAATGTGTTAAAGCACAGCATTATGAAGTTACTCCAGCTACTGTAGCACGAGTTCGGTCCCCGACAGTGTAGTGACCCACATAGTATGGCAAACATCTCTTGACCTGCCCGCTGCTCCCCTCAGCAGTGTCTCAGTAGATCTGCCTGTTCTACTCCCCACTTTGTCTCTGGTGAATCCTCTAACTCTGCACAACTCTAGTTATGAAGGAAGGAAGGAAGGGAGAAAGGAATCTTTTTAAAAAATGGACATTTGAAGTGTTGAGACTTCTCACCAGCATTTTTTTAATATGCACTCAAAAGATGTATAAAACAGTTTCAAGTTGTAGTGAAGTAGCTTTACTTGATTTGTATGTTATTCTGTTAATGATAGGATCCTGGCTACATTTCTTCATTGGCTTATTACAGTGTTGTAGCTACCCTTCAGCTATTGTCATTTTATATTTGTATTTTTAAGTCTATAAAGTGATTACTCGTTTCACTAAGCAAGTGAATAGTGGTGCTTTCATTAGATAGACCATGCTCTGTTCCACTCAGTCCTATTTTCCATCAAAACATGGAACTTAACACAGTATAAATTATCACTAGACACTTTCTTTAAAATATATATTTAGAACAAAATTAAATAAACTTCCAGTTCAGTTAACTTTTTCACAAATTTTCTTAATCTGATTAACTTTTCATAAGTTCCTCCTTTGTGCAGTGCCACAAGAGTAGTAAGTAGGGGCCTATATAAGTGTGCTATCTAATTTCTCTCTACCCTTAAGAAAATCAGATAAGAGATACAAATGTATAGTTCAAGACTATTATAATTGATGTATTAAAAAATAGAATGCTTTAAGAATTATGGCATGTTAAAATAGGACAGAAGAATTCCACTTAGTATAATAAGGAAACATGAAAAAGATGACATTTAAACTGTACTGTTAAGAATGATAAGGTTTAGATCATGTTTCTCAATTGAAGGACCTGTGGCAATATTTGGATACATTTTTTTCTTTAAATTTATTTATTTATGCATATAGAACTGGGGTTCAGGCCAGAGGTTCAGGGGCGGTGAGAGGATTCACCAGAGACAGAGTATGGGGAACAGAACAGGCAGATTGATGAAGTACACTGCTGAGGGGAGCAGCAGGCCCGTCAGGAGAGGTCTGCCACACCATGTGGGTCAGTATGATAGAACTCATGCTGAAGTGGCTTCAGCTTCTCAGTATTGTGCTTTAATTCACTGGGCACCAGGGAGGGCCTGGATACATTTTTGATGGTCACAACTCTCGTTAGATGCCACTAGCATCTAATAGGCTGATGCTAGGAATAGTTCAAAACCTACAGAAAGCCCCTTACCACAATACTGATCTCTAGTTCACAATGTCAATAGCACCACTTGCTGAGAAACCCTGGCTTATATATAGTAACTTATTAAAAATCAGCATGATAGAAAATTAGAGCAGATTTGCCAAAAATAGCCATTTCTTCTTTATCCTAAAAACAGTTTTTTTTTCCCTTTGCAATTAATAAATATTTGACACTATGCAAGTGCCCTGTTTTTCCTTGAACTTTTGAACACTAATTTTAATATTCATTGATGGACTTTACCTGTACCATTTATGACTGTGGTATTCTAACAGCTATTTTCCACTTTTGTCATCCGCTCTACACTTTTAAATTTAAATTCCTATAGATGGAAGAATTTTTCCTAGCACTTATTTAGGTCAGTGTGGACTTGTAGGTATTTATCTAAGGGGTTAGACGTTATTCTTCAGAGTCTTCCAGCTTTGGCCATTGACCACTTTGTCACCTTGGTTCCTATTTAACATGCCTTATCCTTTTTTTTATTTTTGAAGGTGCCATTTCTTGGCACCACAGATGGTCCAGACATGGGTTTTAATTTTTATATCTTCAGCACTGGAATCCACCAACGACTCCAAGGAACCTTGGTTCCTTTTACTGGAGAAAGAAACTGAGAAACCATGATTCATTTTCTCCACATTTTCACCAATGTATGTTTGTTATTTTCCCTTTTTTTAGAATGGTCATCCTAATGAATGTAAAATGGTATCTCGTGGTTTTGATTTCTCTAGTGTAGTGATATTGAGCAGTTTGCTTGATTTTAATGTTCTAAATGGTGTTAATGTAACATAAAATATATTTTGCATACTTGTTTAAAGTGTATGTTGTACCCTTTCAGTGTAGTTACAGAGTTTTGGCACCCTCATCATATCTAATTTGAGAACATCATCAAAAAAAGAAATACTGATCTCATTAGCGGTCATTTCCCATTTCACCCTTCTGCTTCTCAACTCTTTGTGACTACTAACTTACTTTATGTCTCTATAGATTTGCCTCTCTGGACATGCAATATAAATGAGATCAAACAATATGTGGTCTTTTGTAACTGGCTTCTTTCATTTAATATAATGTTTTTGAAGTTCAGCCATGTTGTAGCATATATCAGTCATTGATTCCTTTTTGTTGCTGAATAACATTCCATTGTATAGCTATAGATACCTTCATCTTTTTGCTCTTTTCCTTTTTTCCCCCAGTTCTTTATTAACTCCAGTGGAAATAAGAGGAGAAGAATTATGATCGTATAGTATATCCTTTGTTACTAACTTTTCTAAATATAAGAGGAAATTCTATTCATTCCATAGCCTTCTTTATAATCAGTACTTTACTTTGATCTTATTAATTAAAACTCTAACTCAACCAACCAGTCATTCAATTTGTTGCAGCATATATCTCTTAAGCCTCAAACAGGGACCTTCCATTGTTAAAACAAGAGTTTTTGAGGTGCAGCGGACACTGATTCCATACAGTAATCAATCTGTTATAGAGTACCTTTAAACTCTTTCTTCCTTGGCCTAACTGAAGAATTTTGATTCTTTCATTGACTTTGACTTTTACCAGCTTTAATTGGGTTTGACTTCCTAAAGTCAGAGAGACTCGTTTTTCCAAAACTGTTTGATCCTTCACAATTAAGAAAAAATGTTGGCACTAGTTAACTTAATTCCAAATTTGTGTAGGCATATAATATTTCAAAGCTTCACTATTTCCATAGCATTTCAAAGTTTAAGAAAAGCATGTGAGAATGACTATAGATGACATTTCCCCCTTTTCTCTTGGGCAAGCCTGGATATCTCAGGTAATGAGAGTCTCAAAATTTACAACTAGTACAAAAAAGGCAGCACTGTTTAAATTTCCATTCATATACTTCACCTGTCAGTAAAGTTTGGGAACTTTAGCTCGCTCAAAAATATTTTAACTTAATTCACTCTGGGTTTATTTGGGAGGAAGAGTTTTTCTGTAGATTTTTTGCATCCTATACTTATACTTATGTCTTATTTCATTTAGGTTGCTTATGGGAGATGAACGTGTAAAGAATGGCCTTAATTTCATGTATGAGGCCCCACCAGGAGCAAAAAAAGGTACTTGCCTCATTTTTAAAGATATCTTTGATGTGTTTGCAACTGTGTTAAGAACTGTTCTGACAAACTCTTTTTCTAAGTTACTCTTCTTGTTAAAAATACTGTAATCAATACAGTAAAATAACTACTGAAACTTATTTAATAATATTTCGTATTTTGTCCTTTGGGAGGAAAAACTCAACATTAGCAGAAGTACATTTATCCTTTATAGTCTGTATATGACATTTGTCTTTCTTACTACAATTACCTATAAATAGAAAATATAGTATTTATTGTCTGTGACAAATGTAAATGTAAAAATTGGCATGCTTACTAAGTACATTTCATATCAGTTTTGTATTTTGTCCTTAAATGCTTTGAATTTTATCTTGTGGGAAAGAAGTGAAGCCAATAAATTCTTACAGTTACAGTTAAATATATGTAACATATTAGTATATCATAGCAAACTTTTATGTTGAAGTTTTTAACTTATCCTACCTTTTTTCCCTATGTTTTTGATATTCAATCAAGAAAACAAAGAGGTAAAGTACTATTTTCTATGTTTGAATTTACTTGCAAAAGATTTTAGTTCTATTAAAAATTTGAAAGACTTAAAAAAAAATTTGAAAGACTTTTTAATGAATGTCTTTAGAAAGAAGAAACAGAAGGTGAAACCGAATATAAATTTGAATGGCAGAAAGGAGCCCCACGAGAAAAGTAAGAACTATCTTTTCTTAAAAGATAAAATACAAGTCAATAAATTTCTCTTATATCTTTTCTCATTCATTAGAGAAAGAAGCTAAAATGAAAAGATATTGTGAATGATTTATTTAATTTGATTAATCATAGTCTCATATTTGGGGTTTTTCAGATTGGATACTTAATGTGATGCTTGTAAATATTAAACAGACTGTTATAGATCCTGATACTTATTGACATTACACATTTAATAATGTACTTGAAATAAATAAAGCTATTTTTCAAATTAACTATTGTTAATATTTTAAATTATTTTTGTGTTTGTACATTTTCTCCCCTAAATAGATATGCCAAAGATGACATGAACATCAGAGATCAGCCGTTTGGTATTCAGGCAAGTGACATATATTTTACTTTGTAAAGATTTTATTTATTTAGTAAACATTTCTTTGTCTTGTCCAAAAGTTTTTAAACTTAAAAAAGGCTATATGGTTTCTGTTTGTATAAGACAGTAGAAGAACAGAAGAAAAAGGTGACTTTTTGAAGTTGAGAATTAAAATTTTGTAGGGTGGGTTTTAATGATAATGATCTTTGCAGTTTTCAAGGAATTTGGAAAATTAGGTCAATGTGAGGAAAAAATATGAAACTAATTGCTTAGAAATGGGATAGACTATCACAGTAGGGCCTGGTTTGTGTTACGATTTTTTTTTTTTTTGCTGAAACATGGCTTCCTTATGGAAGATTGCTTTGCTTATTTATTTATGTATTATCTGTGCCTGCTTTCCTGCTACATAGGCAGAATTGAGTAGTTCAACAAAGGTCTCTTAGCTACAGCAAAATTTAGGAAATGGAAACATTAAAGGTTAGCTTTTTAAAACTAGGGAGTTTAAGATTAAACCTTGACATAATTCTTTTTTGGTATTTGCCACTTGTTTTTGGATAACATTGTCTTATTTGTTGCCACAAAAATAAGAATCTAAAAGACATAGGGTCTAGCTTAGTTTTTAGGCTAAATTTATAGTGAAAGATTTTAGTGTTTGTATTAAATTACCAAATATATAATTATGAAGTGTCTTTCCCCTAGAGAATTTTTCTTATTTTAAAAATAAGAAAAATTTCAACTCTACCAAGGAGTAAGAAGATAAACATTAGATTCTTAGTATTTTAATAACCAAAATATTGTTTGCTGTTTCTCAGGTTCGAAATGTGAGATGCATTAAGTGTCACAAATGGGGTCATGTTAACACAGATCGAGAATGTCCTTTGTTTGGTCTTTCTGGAATCAATGCAAGTTCAGTTCCTACTGATGGCTCAGGTATGCACTAGACAATATGTTTTAAAATTTATAGTAAAGGCAAAGATAAAATAACATGTCTTTAATTTGTCTAGTTATTGTTTTGGATTGGTTTAATTTGGATTTGTTTTGGACTAAGTCATGTGCCTAAAAATGATGATCACCGGTGAAGTTTGATCATATGTTTAGAATTTAGTGTACCAGAGTTAAATTCTGTTTTACAAGATAAGGACTATTAGACTCAAATTTAAAGGTGAAAAACAATTAAAAAATGGTTATTCTCATACTTATGACCTCCTGAAATGTAAAGGTAGATGGGACTAAAAGCCTCAGTACAATTGCCTCTTTTCATAGATAAAATCAAAATTGAATTGGAAAAGATGGTGAATATGTACAAAGTAGTTTTTATTTCAGTTATTTACCTCCCTGCCTATTATGTGTACTTAAGAGAAAGTGTTCTAATTTGATTTGACTCTTTTTATAAATTTATAACTGAGACAGCAACACTATTTCAGCCCTATAATAAATCATAGTAGCTATTATTGTTTAGCCTTGTAATCTTCAGTAAATCATTTCAATTTTATGATGTTCAACTCTTCAACTTAAAAAAAAAATTTTTATAAGAAATCTTACATAAAACCCCGGTATTTAGCTCATATAAAGGCAAACTGCTCTATTGAAGCAAATGTTTGGACATAAGCCCTGTCCTTAATTCACCTTGATCTTTTTATACTCCCTGTGCTGCCATTGCTACTTCTAAACCCAGGGTTAACACTTTAGTCATCATATGGCCTTCAGCCTTTTGTCAGTAGCAAGCTTGAGATCCAATTTTCTGTAGCAGGAGATCTTCCTTCAGTCATATGATAATGTGATTTCTAATAAGAAAAATATATCAGGCTTTGCCTCAGAAACCTGATACAGAGCTCCTAAAGTCCTTGTAAATTCCTAAGTGATGAGTTATGGGGGTATCTTTTATTCTGGTATCTGGACTTTAACCCACTTTCTGACACAGTGTTCTTAAATTCCTTGTCATTTCCTGGGTAATAGGAATGTCTCTAGTTCTAACGAGGCAACTCAGGGTGGGCCCCTAGAGAGCTAATCACAGGAAAGAACATAGAAGCTCAGTGACCTTTCCCCAGAACTTGGCCCTGTGTATCTACCACAGGCTTTTTATCTCTATCTATACCCCTAATAAACCCATAAATTTGTTTCCAAGTTCTATGAGCAGCTCTAGCAAATGAATTGAACCGGAGGAAGGGTTCAATTCGGAATATCAATATGAAGATATTCAGTTTGTAACCAAGTTGGGCAGAAATTTGGGGAACCTGGGAACATTCTACTTGAGACTGGGATCTGAAGTAGAATAAGAGCAGTCTTTTGAAACTGAGCTCTTAACCTGAGGAATCTGTTGCTGTCTTTAGGCAGATAGTATCAATATGAGTGAAATTATCAGACACCCAGCCAATACAACAAAAAATTGCTAGGTGTGGGGAGAAACCGCCACACATTTCATGATGAGAAGTTGTGAGTGTTCTGTGTTAGTGAAGAAGACACACAGAAAGAAACATAGTAGGCAAGAATTGGGTTTTCCCGCCATAAGAAGAAAAAATTGAGGGTTTGTTTTTTTTTTAACTTTCCCAATAAGCCAAATGCAGGCTATGGATTCAAAATGCCAGCTCTTATATTAGAAGTATAGGGGTTTGATCCATTATCTTGTTGGACATACCTCTTTAATGGTGTTATGGATGTCATTATGTATAGAGTTTGTACACCAATAGAATGAGGCAGCTAATTTTTTATATATTCTTACTGCTCTACCAAAGGTTAAGAAACCTTTAGAGGGGAAATGATTTTGCTCAGTGGTGAGAGAATATTGATAACAGACCTTAGTCTGCAGTTTTGACAGACGAATATCCCATTTTACCACGTAGTAGATGCTCTTAAAATCCGCGTACTATCTCCTCCTGTTAACGAGAGGAAAAAGATCCCAGAAGAAATAAAATTTCAAAGGAAATGAGGGTAGAGTAGATCATATGTGAGTAGTCCATGGCTCAAATATTGCTGAACACTTATTTTAGTCACAGGAGTCAGTTGCTATATCTGAAAAGTATATTCTGTTTTCTGGGAGGGTTTGCATCCTTCTCGTCTTTTCCTTCATTCCAGCCATATGCCATTATAATTGCATGCCTCCTGTGTTGGGTAGGGACAATTAGCAGTGATAGCTATCTTTGCTCCTCAGCTTTGCTTCTGAGAGAAATGAGTAACATAGATTCGAGACTTTGTTCTTTATTAGAAATCAATGGACGTGCTTTCTCTTGAGTTAGAAAGTCTTAAATAACAACAACCTAAAGAACTTGTGCTATTTAGTTTTAACCTTTAGTGTTTAAGAATGTGAAGTGAATTTGATAGAGTGAAGCTGGTTTTGACTCTTGTACAGATCTCCATTTATACAGTAATGCAGTCATTCATTTTATATAGTCAAAGTTTTTGGACCCCCCCTTATGGTGGGGTATTACTGTATTAGTATTTGTCAACTGAAAAAATGAATTAGTTAAAAAAGCTTGCATCTTTCCTTCTTGTCAAATTTTAGCATATGTGTAACCAAACTTGAGAAGTCTTAAGTCTACAAATTAATGATTTTCTAGCAAAGTAAGTTGAGAGTGGGGTGATAAAAGGTAAAAAGTATTACCTTTATTAAAACTATATTAATATCACTGAAATTTAAAATGATCTGTCACGTCAATATGAAAAAGTTGAACATACAAACACAAGAAACAAAGGCCATAAATATAAGTGGTTTGCAAACAGAGAAATTCAAGAGGCTGTTACACTGCAAGACCATAATAACCAAAAGAAGTAAAAGCTAAAATAATTGTTATCTGTTCACTGATCAAAATTGGTAAAGATTCAAAAGAACTATATACCCAGGGTGGAGCAAGTGTGGTAAATTGAACCTTTCAATCCACTAAGAGTGGCCTTTCTAAAGTCATTTTATATATCAAAATCTGTAAAAATGTGTATCCTTTTACATAAAAACTCAGCTTCCAGAAATTTATAAAATGATAAAGTAGATACTCAAAAGCTTATAGAAACAACCCTAACTGTATATTAGTAAGAGGTTAGTAAAAAAATAAAAACAAGCTCGCTCAGATACTCAGCAGTCACTTATTGTGCCAGGTGTTTTTCTAGGCTATTGGATCACAGTGTTAGAGTAGGTTCTTCATTCCATTATACTGGCACTGACAAAATAAACTAATAAAAAATAGTAGATATTTATAAATTCTGTGATGAAAATTAGATTGGGTGCTGGGATTTGTTGTGATTGGCACCTAGTGTTTGATTCTATTTGTCTTTTTTTTTTTTTTAAAAAAAAAATGGGAAGTAATTTTAGAATAAGGGGTAAGGAATACCATTTGTTGGAAAAGATACCAATCTGATACCAAAATGGCAGAAAGGATACAAGACCTTAGAGAAGAACATTTTGTTTCTTACGCAGGAAGAATGCCTTCCACCCAGCGAGAACCATAAATTTGGTTTAAGATTTAACATAGTTGGAAAGGAAAGATGACCTGACAGAAACAACAGAAGAAAAACAAGCACAGATTTCTCTTGGATGATGTTGAATGAGTAGAACTGTTACAGGGCAACCCCAGTGTGATTTGGATTGCCTGACTGTGGGTCCTCACCCGTCGGCTCAGAGGACTTATAATAAGATTCAACTGCAGGCACACGCAAAAAGGTTAATAATGGGTTTATTTACAAGAGAAAGGGAAATTAATAACTCAGGGGAAAAGAGAAAGAGATAAGTTGGTTAATGCATCCTACAAGTTCCACTGACCTGGAGCCCCAGTCGCACACAAAACCAGTGAAAAGCCAAGAGCTTACAATAACAAGGAGTTATTGTAAGCCTCGAGGCCAAGAGACCTCAAAGCCCACGTGTCTGGTTTTATATCCAAACAAAATGGCTCCTTAGCCCCTCTCTCTCCTGGGGTCCTAGCAATCCTCCCTTTGGTGATGATGAGATTTGTAGTTCGAAGGTATATGCCCATATTAAATTTATTTTCAGAATAATACAAATAGTTAATGAAAGCAAGGAGTTATTGTTATGTTTTATGTTTAAAGGTTATGTTAATGATGAGAAATAATTAGCGACTGAATTCATTTTGCCTGAATTCATTTCCAAGGTTTATGGAAGTAGACATTAGGAAAACTTCAATTTCCATTTTTTCCTTTCAAACAGATAAAATGTATATGAGAACAAATACTGTAAAGACACGGCCATTGTTAATTTCTTAAATCCTATACTTCACTTCCCTAAGAGTATCTCAAAGCAGTGTACTCTGAGGAGATTATGATAAAAAAATAGATCGTAACTTTCATTGTCTATGCTACCACATAAACTGATGAAAATTACACATGTATTTATGATACACTGTCAAGATTGAGAGCCAGGGTCCTCCCTGGTGGTGCAACAGGTTAAAGCTCATCACTATGCTTGCCACAGCCACTTCAACATAAGTTCAATCCCTGGTTAGGGGGTGACTACATGGCACAGCAGACTTCTCCTGACCCGCTCCTCCCCTTAGCAGTGTACTTAGTCATATCTGCCCGTTCTGCTCCCCACTCTGTCTCTGGTGAATCTTCTCACCACCTCTGCACCTCTGGCCTGTACCCCAGTTCTGTATGCATAAATAAATAAATCTTAAAAAAAAGATTGAGAATCATCACTTTCGGTTGTATAAGAACAACTGAACTTTGGGAAGACATATGGACACATACTTTCCCAAAAATCCTGGAAAAGGAAAGACCAGCACATTAGAAGTGTTTGTATCTGGGTTGTGAGATTACTTGAGATTTTTAATTTCATCTGTTTGCTTATCTGGCTAAGCAGCAGTGAAGGTAAATTACATTTATAAAATTTTAAATAAATATTTTTTAGAAAAACTATGCATAGGATAAATTAGTTTGAATTGTATTGCTCAGTTAATGCCTTTAAAGTTTGAATTGAATTTAGCAGTACC